CTGGAACCTAAAACTCCAAGGCCAAGTGACAAACAGATGCTCCGAGTCGTGTCTTAAATTTGGTAGCGCTACGTGCTATAGAACTCACGCTATCAACGAAAAACTCTGGCATTCGGTTGCCGCTAAACTAGTCCAATTTTTCCCTGACCTTGTACGGGGTTTGTGACCTGGTGACCTGACCTGAAAAGACTAGAGATCTGAAATTTTCAGGACAAGTGCCAAAAGGTTGCCCCAGAGGGTATGCCAAATTTGAGCGCCGCCGTTTTTACGTTATTTGTGAAAAACCTTAGGGGGGTGCATCAAGTCCCCTCACCGGGCGAGGGCTAACTAACATAATGCATTATAGTAAAGGCTACCCGAACCGGTAATGATTCTTGCTTATTTGTTTAGCTCAGCCGTATTTAGAGATTTAGCTGGCTTTGTCCATGAATAACAATATCGGCAGGGGCGTAGCCAAGGGGGAGGGGCCACGGGGGCAATGGCCCCCTCCCTTGAGCGCAAAACGCGCCATGGGGGAGCCCCTCAGGCCCCGGGATATTTATTTTTTCAAACACTGGATAAAACGTCTTTTACTCGGAAGAAAATTGATATCGAAGTTTCATTTCTGTGGCCCTCTGATGACCCAATGGGCCCCTGCACTCATCCGATGACCCCCGGTTTCCTGGGGCCCCTGGTCGCCTAGAGGGCCCCGGTCGCTTGGGGGCTAGTCGCCTGGGGGCCTGGTCGCCTGGCCCCTGCCCCCTGGTCGCCTGGAAGAACGCTTGTCACCTGCAGTGGCATAGCCAAGGAGGGGGCCAAAGGGACCATGCCCCCCGGAAGCCAGGGGTCCTTATTCTATAGGCGCCCCTGGCTGACACAGTGGGCCCTTGGCGACGCAAAGGCCCCTGCGGCAGATCCTTTGACACAGCTGAGTAGTTATACTTTGGCCAAGAGAGCCCCAATTTTAGACCCTTGGGGCCCTATTGAAACCAGGGGGCCAGTTGGATGGGATGGGTCCAACTTGGGTCCAACGGTGTGTAAACAGAATCAATGGTTCCGACTGTTGGTCTGACCCTATATCGGTTTGAGGGAGCTCGGATCGGATCCACTGTCGATCTGAGGGGCCCCTATCGGTTTGAGGAAGCCCTCAAATGCCCTGAACGGGTCCTTAGTTTGTCTGAGAGAGCCCTCCGTTGGCATGACTGGGCCTCTGGCAAGTGCAAGGAGGGCCTTTGTCGGTCTTAGTGGCCCTTAGGCGGCTTATATGACCCTCAGACGGCTTACGAGGCTCTCATGCACTGTAGGGGCCTGTGACGGTCTGAAGAACCCTCATCCGACCTACGGGCTCTCAGACCGCCCTCAAAACCGACTGGCGACTCTATGAAGCTATTCGTGGGCCTGTCTAACAGGGCCCATGGACTGCTTACCCCCTCAGTTCTAATATTTTTTGTTAATAAATATTTTTCTATTTATTTGGGCCCCCTCCAAAAAATATTGGATCCAACCAGATGGCTTTTTGGATTTTGAGGGGGTTATTTTGGGCCCCTGTGCGTTTAGCCCGCTCCTTGAGGAAATTCTGACTACGCCCCTGAATTTCGGGCAACCAGAAAACTTTTTTTTTGACCTTCAAACAGCATCCAGTTTGCTTAAGACCAAAAAGGTAGTACCGGACGTCCGGCCGGACCAGAATTTTTGCATTTGCTTCTGGGTGGGCAAATCGACGCCACTGGGTGGGCAATTGTGGTGACTGGGTGGGCATTTGCCCACCCAGTGGGTATGTTAGAGGAGGCCCTGCTACATTGGCATCGGTCGTAGCCGATTCTGTGAGCCGGGACCGTCCACTAAGCAGAGGAGGGACCGGGATTTCACGGGCCGTTATCGTACGCTGGTAGTCCCGTGCTGCGATACACAGCAGTCGGTACCTGGACTGTCCCAGATACTCTGAGATAGCGGGCCACTCCGGAGCCTGGAGAGATTGGCGGCGCGGCGGCAGGCCGGTCGTGTAGATAAGGCCACTCGGATCGGTGGACTGTATGACTCGGAGAGGGTCGGCAAAGCAGACTCACCGCGAACTAAGTGGATTCAGTATCCACCTGTACTGGCTTTATCGTCTTTCCGTTTTTTTTTTTTGCAATCCAGTTGGCTCGTTTAATGTTAATGGACCATGCTTTACGTAATCTGTGCTATGCTTACTAATCTCAGTGAGAACGCATTGAGACATTAGTGCGGATCAGTAACCATATTTACATTTATTTTAAAAAGCCAGAAAGTTTAACGTCTTCCAGAGAACGAACTGGGCTGCCCAGAGCCCAAAGAAAAGTGCGGATTGCTTCAAAGAGTCGTCCGTTTTTTGAACCCCTAAAATTTGGCAAAGTCCTTCCTTATCATTATTATTTGTTTAACTAGGACGAAAAGACTGGCAACTTAGACTAGAAGACCCAACTCCTTCCTGCAGTAACCGCCGGGTACTTTCGTTTCCATTTCCTGCACCTGTGGCAGTACGTTCCGTTGCGCCTGTCCTTCCGCCGGGCGCGCCGTCGCAGAGGTCGCCGGTCGGCGCCGCTCCTTAGTCCCGTCCCCGGTCCGCCCGAGTCCCCAGCACGTGGAGGACAGGTCAGTCGCACCGCTGCACTGTCGGTCTCCACTCTCCAGGTAGCGGTGGCCTTCTAGATGGAATGTGGGCCATGTATTGACGGCGATAAACGATTCTTGCATGGCATTCGATGGCGCATTTAAACGACATGTTCCAGTGTCGATCGGTGGGTATTCAGGAATGTTACCTCATTTTTATGACGATGGCAGGGATCTAATGACCCCAGTTTCAAAAGTACATTACGTGGCTGATCGGATTTATAGGGCGCGACCAGGGTCCGAGTATGTATGCGCTGTGAGTCGACCTGTCGTGGGTGTGTTTGTTGAGGGATCATCACGTGCTCGTGTTTTCTCCAGGCGGGAGGGATGGTGAGGAGCGACGGCCGGCGGGAGCTGCGCATCCTCCGCATCCTGGCGCTGCTCTTCAGGTGAGCCGACACGTCGGACCGTCGACCGTTTAGGGGCGACGGTGCTGTAATATCGAGAACGCTAATGTAGCTGAGGACGCAGTGTCTACACCTGCTGCTCTTGTTGAAAGCCTGCACAAAGCTGATGCGAAAACTGCAGTAGCGTGTGCGTTGGTTGGGATACCGCGTCAACGTTCACAGCCTTTTCTTCGACCCATGCTTATCGTTCGATCATTTACTGAGTTACGGTTATCGGCTGTGCGCACACCCTCCCGTGCCCACCTCCGTAATAACTCTGCGTGTGCGTCCCTCTCTGTCTGTCGGCAGGCGCGGCGGTCTGGCCGGCGGCGTGTACAAGGGCCTAGAGGCCAAGATGCTGCAGACGGTGCTGACCGCGGCCCTCATGTTCGTCCTCTACGAGAAGATCGCCCAGTTTGTGTTCCTGCTGCTCCTGGGGCGGCGCCGGTAGGGCAACAGACAGGGGACTTGGTAGGCAAATGTGCCATTTTTACAGAGCTCCAATTATTATTGTGCGTCGGTCCAATAGTTGTTACATTGTTTTATCAGACTTCCGTTCATATCATTACAAGACCAACGGGTTGTTCACTTAGATTGAAGACCCGTGGTTATTTGAATGATAAGGTACACATTTTTCAAAATATTGATATTCAATGAGTTCAATGCTTTAATCTTTTTTGCAACGCACACATGAATAGCAACATGTCAAAAACATCCGGTTGTTTACGTACTTCATGTTCCTCATTTGTATGATTGTTTATTTTTTTTTCCTTTGACACGGTTACATTAAGTTCCAGTCTCTGGACTGGATTGTAGGGATATTGCTCAATGCTCAATCAATCACTGCACTTTGGCGTTTTCACGCCGATGTATCCTCTCGTCATCTCGCAGGCCGCTATCTTGTAGCGCAATGTTATGCCACCGATCATCTGCCTCTTATCTAATCCAACTTCGATACGTTCACTACAGATATGAGCACAATTATGTCTGATCAAAAGAGCTTGCTGTCCGATGACCAGTCTCTTCTGAGTCAGTGAGGGAGGGTGTCGTTAACAGGCCCTCGCTAATCAGTCCATATTCTGTGATTATACATAAGGGCACCGAGCGGCAGACTCGACAGGCAAGTCGGCTGGCATTATACCTGGTCGGGACGGTAGTGTATAGACGGCGGAGTGGTTTTGAATCAGAGCCGGCTCTGGGGCGCAGTTACGCTTGTATTCCAGTGAATAAATGGTGAAATATTCACTCGTCGTTTTCCTGCCTATAAATTATAGTTATTCACGTCCGGTGTTGGGCAGCTTAAAAAAACCTACCCCGGTTACCATGTGTCGTGAAGCTGATTTCACCTCATGAAGGTGTGGTAAAATATGTCGTGGTGTGCTATGGAGCATGCAGCACAAAGTGATGGTTGATAATGCATCTGGTATTTCATACTGAGCAATTTAATGTAACCAGACTTATTAACTGCGATAGTGGGTATACGAATAACTATCATTTGTCGTGTCTGACCACTATGTAGTTAGTGGTGACCCACTCCTGACATGTGTTCCCCTAGTCCTAAAACATAGCAAACATTTATGTGCCTGAACCGTGAACTTGACCGGTGGAAGTTAGCACCTTGTCCGAATGCCACACCTAATGAATAGAATATCCACCGGCACTGACCTCAGGTAACCGTACTGCGTAGCGCCCGATATACCCCACGGATCGCCAGTTATCGCACGCGCCACACCGGCCGCCCCTCCCTACTGTTACCATGCAGGGTGATAAGACACGGCACCAGCTAACGCATGTCCGACGAAGGTGAAAGGCGTGAAAACCAGACTAGACTTGTGGTTGGTTCATCCACGCTGACTCGCCAAAAACGCGGCCGGCCCAGTCGCACCGTTTGTTTATAAACCGTTTGATTATGCCGTTTCGGCGTTTTGTCGACTGCGTATGTAAGTACGTGTCACACTGAGACTGAAACTGTCCTCGTCCTTCTCTCCACCATAAACACGCTGGTTCCGATAACGAATGAATACTTGTATGTACACCGCCGGTATGAGTGATGACATGCTGCATGGCCGATGAACTGTGGGTATGAGGGGTGACGTCGGCGCCGTCTCGGTTGGCCACTGGACGGCGCCGGCCCTCCGTCTGTGCGCGGTGTGCCTCGCGGAGCACTGGGGGCGCGCGCCGTCCCTGCCCGCCGGCTGACTGGGGCCGGGGACCGCGCCGGCAATGGCCATCACTCCGTACCCCGGGCCGCTGCCGGCGGAGTACGGGGACTGTCCGGCGGCGCGCTGCGGTCGGACGGCGGCGCTCGCACGGACTCACATCGACTGACTGACGCCGATATCCCCACGCTCTCGCGCACGCCGTTGCTCCCCGCGTCCAGCCGCCGCTGTTTAGGTACTGTTCCGCTCCGCCGGCGGCGCTACTGCGCCTGCACCTGGTCGCCGAGCACCCTGATCTCGAGCCGCTCGCCGTTCTCGTCCACCAGGTATCCCTTGCCGTTCATCACCTGCTCCAGCACCTCCTGCGGCAGGCTGATGTGCTCCGAGCCGTCCACCGTTCCCACAGTGGCCTGTGGTGTGCTGCGCTCCGCGCCGATACCGCCACCGCCGCCGCCGCCGCCGCCGCCGCCTCCAGCACCCGACACCACTGCCTCCACGGCGGCGTCCACAGCCGCGCCCGGGTCCACGGCGGCCCGCTTCCTCTTCCTGCCCCGGCCGCGGCCGGCGACCGGCGTGACGGGCGCCGCGGCGGCCACCAGCTCCGCCTGGTCCAGACTCCAGTCCATCGTCGCGCCGCGCGTCCTGTACAGGGGCAGAGGGAGGACACGGGTTACTGGCGGTAGGTGAGCAGCAGGGACAGGAAAGAATACCGCAGACTGCTGTGAAATGCTACCTAATTCTTATCACCATCACAGTAACTGAAAATCGACACCACAAATCGCAGCCAGAAAAAGCCCAAGACCGTCAGCATCCATTCTTTTCGCCACCGCCACTTACTTTTCCTCGAGCTCCTTGGCGGAGAGCAGCGGCAGGCCCTGTCCCACCACGAAGGCGTAGTTGCTGGAGCCGACCTCGCTGAGCAGCTCGCCACACTCGAGGACGGCCTCGTCGCTGGCCGTCAGCGCCTTCCGCTTATCCTGCGCCGTGCCACAGACGTTAAGTGAGAATCAGGGCATTGGTAGCGGTGGCGGGGCGTGTGGGAGTTATCCACACTGACCAGATCCGTATGGCGATGCTAAGGTCTCGTGTGAACACATTGCTAAACAGATAGGCAATTGGCAATACAGTGGTCCCGTGGGTTCGTGTAGCTGAATGGTTTACAGCGCATAGACAAATCAATACACTGATGACAGGCAAGGATCGCCGAGGCCAACAGGGTTCGGTGGGGGGCAGCGCTCTGACCTTGTCCAGCAGGCTGATGAGGACGCTGGGCGAGTTGCCCAGGATACTGGCCTCCAGTTCCTTCAGCTTCTTCTCCAGCACGACGCCCTCGTTCTTCAGACGGTTGATCTTGCCCTTGTCCTTCTGGGCCTCGACGCTGAAGTAGTCGACGGCACGGCGCAGCTCGGCACCCTGTTACAGCAGATACACCCGGTCATACACTGGCGGATCCAGACTTGCGTTTTGGGGGGGGGGCCAACTCGTGCAAGGAGCCAAACCTAGGGTACCCCCAAATCCTGTTTTCTCATCGGATTTAGGCCACTTATTTTTCGTCACAGCCCTGAAACGATATTTTTTTTAAACTAAAAAAAAATAGAGAGAGAAATGGTAGCCCACTCAACCCGTGCCTTAATATTACTTTGAAAACACTTCAAATTGCTTTTGTCGACCACCGCTCCGGGTCGGTGCTTGGCGCAGCCTTCGCGGGCTGGGAGGTGTCGGTTGAACCTCTCTGCCGTTCGGCCCCTGATTAAGCTAGAGCTCGCGGAAAAAACGAGTGTGTTGCCTGTCAGTGACGAGAGGAAGCCGATGATACCCGATTTTAAGGTCCTTGGTCATTGGTTGACCTTCCAGGGCGGTGTTTCACGGTCGCGCTGCCAGCCGCTGCCAGCGCATTCCGCGAGCTAAGGTCAACCTTCGGTAGTGTTGTAGGTATAGGCTAGTTGATGTCTCCATGGAAACCAAAAGTGCCAACAGCGCTGGCAGCGTGCCGTGAAACACCGCCCAGGTCAGGTCACAGACCCAAAAGACGGGAAAATCAGGGCCTTTCAGAACCTCCTAAAGTAAGGCTGCAATAGATTTTTTTGTGCTGATCACGAATTTCATGTTAGTTTGGATCATAGATGATGTCTTCATGCCTTTATGCCATGTCGGGGCAGGCCAGGTCAGGTCAACCAGGTCAACCAGTACTTATGGGCGTCCGTGTAGCAGGTGTCCGACTACCACTGGCAGCTACGTAACATGATACGAAGGCATCAAAACTACTTCGTAAATGTTCAAATGGTTGCTAAATGCTAAATTCAAAATCAGCTAAACGAAACTATCCTAGAAACATGTTAAACTCGGAAAAGTGCACCGAGGTCATCAAAGGTCAATGACCTGACTTGACCCTAAGGTGACATTGACACCTACCACAATGGTTGGGACCAACATCATTTCACATGTTTGAGCGTTTTAAACCACGAAAAGACTGTAAACGAGCGGATAATGTGAGCCGACATACGCGGAATCGCGATTCCGGCCAAACATGGCCTCAAACATGGCCAAACATATGGTGCGTTCGGAGAGGCACATTCCACGTGGAATCCGTGGAATACTCCATGCGCGCGGAACATTCCCGGAGATTGGCCGTTCAGAGAGATACGCCTCCGAACGCGGCACGGGGAATATTCCAGGGGACGGTGAATATTCCATGCTCTCCGAACGCACGGATAGTCTCGAGAAATAGGCCACAGGTCAAAGGTCACTTGGGTCAGGGTCATGAAATATTCAGACTTTGTCAACATGAGGGTGCTAAAGTTTCGTCGCGATCGGATTCATGATAACTTACACGATAACTTCACGCGTCGATCGAGAGGTAAAGTATGCAATAAGAACTTCTTGGGTGAAGACGAGACCAACACTCAAGCTCACATATTTTTAATGATACGGTAGTTTCTACCTACTACGCTACTTTCTCACATTCATATTTCTTAAGTGTTTTTGGGGGCCAAAATACATGTTGCCCCCTTTCAGGCTTGGGGGCATGACCCCGTGGCCCCCCTGGATCCGCTAGGCCGAAACTAACTAGGCCGTTTTCAAACGGTCTGATATTTCAGGTCATGGTTTGCAAACGGCCGGTGTTTTCAGGCTGTTTCATATGCCCTGACTGGGCCAGGCCGTTTGCAAACGGACAATTTTCATACGGCCTGTAACATATATTCATATTTCACCATCTGTCGCAGCATCAAATGCTGATGTGGTGCACTCAAAAGCCGGAATTGGTCCTTGGATGCCGTAAGGACCCTTTTAAGAAATAAGTGACCCGACTGACCCCTTAGAGATTGGCCTGAGCTCTGACCGAAATAAGTCTTTTACCGTTTCACGGGAAGGGACAAAAAGGTCCCTGATATGCTTCTTGTACAATTACCAAACAAAACAAGCTTTTCAACGCCAACTCAGTGAGTGTTCCTAAAAAAATTATTGCGCATATTCCGTGAATGAAAAATTGCCGGGTCATGTCAGGTCAGGCTGCCAGAGCAAGTTTGTTAACTTGACAGTTCAATCGATATGTATGCAATAAGACCTTCTCGGGTGACGACAAGACATGACGACACTTTATGAAGGAAGCTAGTAAACCCGGTGGTTTCTCCATAGGCACGGGAACCGGGGCAGTGGGGACAGCTTGCCCACCCCCCAACTATGGGGCCGTGGGGGCGGTGCCCCCACAACTTTCAGACGGAATACCCCATTTTTTGCAAATGTTTTCTTTTTTTGTTGAAAAAAGCCAAGGGATGAAAAATAAGTGGCCTAAAACCACCGGTGAGAAAACTATATTTGGGGAGACCCTAGGTTGATCTCTATTATGGTGTGCCCCCCCCCCCCCCCCAGTCTGAAAGTAGTTCCCGCACCCCTGTGTTTCTCTACGCTATTGAATCACGCCGGTGATTCTAACTTTTAGGTATCTACTACGCAACCTTCTCACATTAATTTTTCTTCAAGCGTTTTGGGAGGGGGGCCAAAAGATATGTTGGCCCCCCTTTCAGGCTTTTGGGGGGCCATGGCCCCGGTGGCCCCCTCCCTGAATCCACCAGTGGGGGGCGGTGCCACCACAACTTTCAGACGGAATACCGCCCTTTTTGCAAATGTTTTCTTTTTTTGTTGAAAAAGCCAAGAGATGAAAAATAAGTGGCCTAAAACCGGTGAGAAACTAGATTTGGGGGGACCCTAGGTTGATCTCTATTATGGTGTGCCCCCCCCCCCCCCCAGTCTGAAAGTAGTTCCCGCACCCCTGACTTTCTCTACGCTATTGAATCACGCTGCTGATTCTAGTAGGTATCTACTACGTAACCATCTCACATTAATTTTTCTTCAAGCGTTTTGGGGGGGGCCAAAAGATATGTTGGCCCCCCCTTTCAGGCTTTTGGGGGGGGCCATGGCCCCGGTGGCCCCCCCCCTGGATCCGCCAGTGCGGTCATACAGAGATACGACGGGGCAAAGCATAGACTGGGGACACATTCGATCACACCTAAACACGAAATGCATGGCCACAACCACACTGGCGGGAGTGCACCGCGGTAATCACTGGCGAACGTCCACTGTGCCAGAGTCCTGCAGCTGATGGTGACGTCACGTTTAAAACATTAAAAGAAGTGAGGGGATTTCGTCAGAAAACAGCCAAGTGATATAGGGCCTTGCCGAGTGATATGTGTCAGCGGTACGAAGGAGGGCACCATGATGTTCCACCGGCTGGACACTCACCACGTTCTGCAGGTCGCGCAGCTTGGCCTGCAGGATGACGATGTCGCGGCTGGACTTGGGGTTCTTCACCTGGGTGTTGATGTTGACCAGCCGGGCCGAGCCGAACGCTGCAACAGCATCAGTCACGTGACGACACAGCCGTCAACCGTTCCCTCCCTTTCAAGACACCTGATTAAAGCGACAGTCGATAGACACTTTGGTAATCAATGAAGTACGAAGCATGAGTTGTTACATTGGCCAACAATACAAATGGAAATTGGAAACGAACATTTCCCACGCGATGGCATCAACTCACCGTCTTTATTTTGATCTTTCATTGCGAAGATAGCGATAGAACTAGCGATAGAGCTATACACCTCTAATGACACACACCGAGCACCCCCACGCAAAAAATATCGTCTCCCACCCCACTCCTTCCACTCTGGAAAACCCTTGGGAAAACCGACCACCATCCAGGTTCAGGTGACCTTGATCGGTGATAGCCTTTTGTTTACATGTTTACATCGTTTACATCAAGGCCCTAAATACATTTACATCTTCTGCGTCAAAGCGGAAACGTCGACAGGCTGCACGTGGACTAATATCGCAAAGCACCTTGGTGTAGTAGATCCCGTTTTCACAACATCAGCAGTCAGCACAATGGCGACAAGCACAAGACAAAACCGAGTCCCATTACAAAGTGCAGCTTCTTACAGCATTAAAGGTAGTGTGCCACCTTTGAAAGATTTCCCATTTTATTTTTCCTAGGATAAGAAGCTTCTGTTTTTACCTAATATCGCAAAAAAATCAAAAATGGGCCTGGAATAGTGCCTTTTTTGCCTAAAAGTTTATCGGTTTTTCGATATGTATAACAACTGTAGTGGGCTGACCTGCAAACAGGCGTCGGCAACAATCGCGAATGCGGCGCACATGTGACAATAAGCAAAGGTCATTATAGAGTTACGACGTACGGGAATGAGTTATCAGCTGTCTAATCGTAGACAACACAATGTCGAGCCTTAAACTGTAAGCCTGTATTGGTATTGTTTCTTTTATTTGGCTGTCGAACATTATTTATGGTTTGAAATATGATTTTATGTAAAATAATTGATATGAAAAAGCCGTCTCTTAAGTTATGACCCCATTTCACCACACGCAAGTGGCAGAAATGACAATGATCAGCTGACGCATTTTTCTTGGCCGAAGTCAGAGCGCGCGGCCCGACGCACCACCACCGCACCACAAAGTATGAGCAGAAGCCGCGCCCAAAGCCAGGGCCCCGGTAACGTGAGGTAGCCGAGTCGGGGCAGCGTGCGCTGACCCAAGCCGGGGCCGCAGCTTTGGGCGCGGTCTACCGCATCCCCGCGGGCAAACCCGGGCTATCACATGACACCGGGAGGACGCGCGGCCCCGGCTTGGGTCAGCGCACGCGGCCCCGACTCGGCTACCTCACGTTACCGGGGCCCTGGCTTTGGGCGCGGTCTACCGCACCACCTAACAGGCGTGTTCGAAACCGCAGGAGATGATGATGAACGGGTTTATCGAAACTTGATTGGATGAGCATATCGGTAATAGCGATTTCAGTGTGTGCATTTATTGTTCATAGTGGTGTGAAATGTGGTTGGGGTATGACCGACAACCCGTCGGGGCGAATTTCGCACTGGGGTACTCAAAATTTGAAGAATTTAAGACGTTTCCATGAGTTTTGAAGGTATGGATAAGTTCTAAAAATCCGGTTCTCCTTATCTGGGCCATTAACTCCATACGGTCCAGGAAAGCTGGCACACTACCTTTAAGTCTTTTTGGCAATAAAAGACCATATTAGAGCGCATTGCTTACTATTTTTGCTTTTCAAAATTACAATTTTGCCGCTGCGAACGTAAAAGTTGACCGTGCACGTGCGCGCGTTCCAACCAAGATCCCGACTGACTTACGCAGTCGAGACCCCGACATCGAAGACCGTATGTTAAACGGACCCTGCATTTGCGACTACAGAAAATCACAAAAAAAAATTAACAAGCCTGGCATACTAGAAGCTCCAAACACCCGAACGGTGGCCGCGGTACTACCTGGGAGCCTACGTTCCTCACCAGCTGTTACCCTGCTCCCCGTCCCTCGGCAGTTACTCACGGTTGGTGGGCAGGTTGGCCGGCTGCGTCTGCGCCCGCGGAGTCTGCGGTTTGCGCGGCTTCATGGGCACGGAGCCGTCGCTGAGGGTCGGGTCGTAGTCGGGGTCATCCGAGTCATCCACCGGCGCTGGTGTCTGGCCGGGCAGCGTGGCCTGGCGCGAGCCGGTCAGCGCAGCGCGCAGGACCGGCGGACCTGGCGCACACAGAGGCAGGGTGTCAGGGAGACGGTGGGGCCGCGGGCGGGAGCAGGGTTGAGGGGTGGGGCTGACCGTAATTTATAGCGAGATCTCTCGATACGTACTCTAGATATTATGCACTCTGTGATAAAAACAACTTATTAAGGTAGGGTGTAAATGAAATTAGCACACTAACCACCCGGGGAGGCAGGAAGCAATACCATTAACTACACTATTTGCGATCCCAGCTGTCGGCTACGGCTATTGCCGCCACTACCCTGTGGAGGGGGGGGGGGGGGGAGGGCTGCAGAAAGCACCCGACTCACCGACGGAGGCCGCTTTGGGCAGCAGCGGTCGGCCGCGGCCGCGCGGAGTGTCTCCCAGCGCCGACGAGCCGCCCACCTTCGAGGACGGCGTCACCGGCGTCGGTGGGCCCGGCAGCGCGTCGTACTTGGACTTGCCCTGTTTGCCGTGGGTGCTCTGCCGGGACGGGGGCAAACGCCAGCTGTGTTAGCGGAACGCTAGCGTAACGCCAAACATGACTAATTCATAGAAAAATCATAGAATTATGATTCGAGAAAATTACCAGTTGAATTATTTTAGCCAAGATGTCATTATTCGCATTGGCAATTTTCACAATTTTCACAATTTTCACAGAGCAGAACTGCGTAAGTCAAGTCATGCAATAAAATTGTCCGGTCTACAAAACGATCCATTACATCCCGACATTAACAATTGACATCAGAATGGCGGGCAGGCTTCTTTTGACCCCTGTCGCTGGCCCGACACCCACCGGCACGATGTCTCCCTGCGCCTCGGCCCTCAGCCGAGTCTCCACCCACGAGATGGCGGTGCGCCGAGCGGTGCGCAGGCGCGGCACGTGCTCGTCAGGACCTGCCGGACAGACGAATAGCGAACTGGTGTTAGTGCTGTCGTTTTTACAAAACGTCAGAATACACATCATAATTAAAATAATTTATAAAAATGTTACGTATAGGCCGGTAAAAATATGCAAATCATTTTCTACAAAATATGTAATATGACAAAATTGTCACAACAGATTTCGTAGCTAGCAGTCATTAAACCAGCCAATAATAGCATGGCGCGTTTCAGATACTCACCATCTCTGTTGCATTTCTCCACCATTTTGGTGAGTGCCTCCTTGATTTTCACCAGCTCCATGAAGGTGAGTACGTTGTAGGACGGCACAGTCTCGGTGACTGCCGGAAGGAAATCAGTCGTTAAGGTTTTGGACACTGCTGGCCCTGCGAGACCGGGACCGGGACCCGACCCACCCACCCGACTGCGGTCTACCACCGGCTGGCGACAACTGGGGCGATCGGCGCTGATCGAGGCGGGCGCCGAGGGAGTGACGGTGGAGCCGCGCCTCGAGGTTCCCCTCCTCCCGTGGACAACCTGCCGCCCGATCGCCTTCAATCTGGACGTGGGACCCGGCGGTCGTCGAGCTTCTTCCAACGAGACGCGACGTGAGGCCGCGCGGCAGCACCTGGCGGCGCTCCCAGCCCAGGCCACGTGGATTTGGTCCGACGGCTCTGCGGACGCTGGGGTCAGGCGAGGAGGAGGCGGCGCTGTCATCTTCACCGCGTCGGGGGAGACTCTCGAGGTGGAGGTGGCGGCGGGAGGCCTCTGCTCCAGCACCCGTGCGGAGCTGTTCGCCCTGAGGGCGGCGCTGGAGCGAGTCCGGGATGAGCCGTCCCCCGCCCCGCTGGTGGCGTGCTCTGACTCACGAGCCGCCCTGAGCCTCCTCAGCGCGGGAGCGGCCGCCCAGACCACCACTATCGGCGCGGCGATCTGGAGGACGCTGCTGGACATTGCCGAGCGCCGGCAGGTGACCCTGCAGTGGGTCCCTGCTCACTGCGGGCTGGCGGAGAACGAGCGCGCTGACGCCCTGGCCAAACAAGCGGCCACCCTGCCCCAGGGCGCCGTGCCCTCGGACGCTCGGTCCCTGACACGGGCAGTTCATCGGACGGCCACACGTCAGTGGCGCGAAAACTGGCCCGACTCCTTTTTCAAGACTATCTTCGGGAGCACCCTGCCGCTCCCCATCCCCGGAGAGGACCGAGAGGCCGCCATCTCGGTGCACCAGTTGAGGGCGGGCCACTGGGGCCGCTCGCTCCAATACCTGCACCGGATCGGCCGCCACCCCTCCGTGGCATGCCTGCAGTGCCCCGATAAGCGGTGCCCCGCGGCGCTCTGCGCCGTGTGCCGGGAGGAGGCGGACGTGCCGGAGCACGTCTTGCTCCGCTGCCCGGCCCTCGCTGGCGCCCGCCTGCGGCTAACTGGCAGCATTTACGTCGACCCCTCGCGGCTGCGGGACGCCGACCTGGTGGCTGCCTTGGAGGCCGGCTACCTTCGTCATAGGGAGCCTCTCGGCTATGGTCCTCCGTAAGGAGGTCCCAGGGGGAACAACAACAACAACAACAGACCGGGATGCATGATGAGTAAAAATAAATAACAACCAGAATATCACTATTCAATGATGGGTGGTGGTCACAATAGGTTACAGACCAAAACCAAGGTAAACTTAATCTAGAGCAGACCAGACAATTTGTTTTTCAAGTTGAGGAGTAAGATATCTGCCAAATACAATTACTTGAAGAGGAAAGAAGCCAAATTCAACGTCATCCTGCAATCGGCTACGCTATCACTAATGGTACCGATGCATCCCCACTGCTATCGCGGACTCTCCTGCACTCCAGGCCCGGGTCACTCTCGTCCTCACCGTTTTCGTCGATCCACTGGAGCACCAGCCGGTCACGCACCACGGCCACTCGCAGCTCGCGCTCGGGCAGCAGCAGCACCTCGATCGGGCCGTTCAGCTTATTGACCGGCCGGCCCGCCTGCAGATGAACCACCCCGGGCGAGGGCTGGATCTGGATCTGCCCACGACCGCGGCCCCGCCCGCGGCCGCCGCGTCCCCTGCCGCGCGCCCGGCCTCGGCCCGGGGTGGCCGGCGCCCGTCCGCGGCCCACCGGCGAGCCGCGGCCGCGGCTGGGCGCCACGCCCGGAGTGGTGGCCACGCGCACACCGCGGCCGCGCGCGCGCCGGTCCACCGAGGTGGTCTTGTAGGGCCGGCCGTAGCCGGTGTGGTCCTCGGCGCGCGGCGTGCTGAACGTCTCCGAGATGGTCCAGGCCGGGTCGCCGTCGGCCGGCTCCTCCTCCAGCTCGTGTTCCTCCACCTCCAGTTTGACAAAGTCGGTGACGATCTCCGCCCGCGGACCCGTGCCGTCGCCGTCCACCCTGGTGGACCAGACGGGATGTCGTGCCAAATAAGACCAACTCACGAATCCGACTAACCAAAACTTACCGAAGATGGTCCGAGCACAAGAAAAATGACAGTGACAAACATGGCATCTGTGGCAACATAATGCAAACAACCAATAATCGTTGACACGATCACGTCAGTATGGCGACCAAGTGAAAAGTACGGAACCACGTCATCTGACCAGTGACCACCCGTTTCCTGTCGGCGGTCGCGCCCGGAGTGGCCGTCTGTACCCGCTCCGTCACTGACCTGCCGAGCGCGCGGCGCTGCTCCGAGGTGATGGCCGACACCTGCACACTGTCCGGGTCCTCCAGCACGTCGTCACAGCGGCGCAGCACGGGCCGTAACGCCTGGCTCAGCGCCGTCTCCACCAGCCCGAACTCGTCACGTTCGTCCTCACTGTCCGACACGTCCAGTACGACGCGGTCCAGGTCGGGCATGGCCGCTGAGGCGCCGCTCGGGCCCGCCGCCGGCTCGTCCACCTCCATCGCCTCAGCAGTGCTCGCAGACTTCACTGGTGGAGGATATAACAGGAGATGTGTGATCTCAGATCTGTCAGCTTCACTGGTGGAGGAAATAACAGGAGATGTGTGATCTGTCAGCTTCACTGGTGGAGGAAATAACAGATGTGTGATCTGTCAGCTTGGCATGGCTAACAGCAGAAACATATATTGTGTGGCTTGTAAGTCATTATGAAGGAAACATACAAAAAGTACAAATATCTTTCCATTTTTCATTATGAATGTGATTAAACAAAAAATGCATAAAAACAAAATAAAACAGCCAGTATGAGGTCAAACACATTAAACAATAAGGCACACAGCTATTGCCAAAAGAATCACTTTACCTTCAGATGTAGACATTGATGACACTGCAGTGGAAGATCCTCACTGAATGAAAGCTGGTAACAAAATCCTAGAATACCAAAAATGAAATAAATATGTTAACTTAAATAGGTAGGTACATATGAAAAGAATGCCACCTTCAAAACAGATCAAGAAAACATACAGATGTTTTAAAAGCAAGTCATCATAATTTGCTGTATCAATAGAGTTGGGTCATACTCCACAATAATGCATCATTTGAAAGAACTGACATGAAATGACCGTCCAGTGGCCCTTTTCGTGGCATTGTGGCAAATTAAAAGCACACGATCTGATCCAGACACTGCTGGGGATTGTACCTACAGTCCTACATGCAATATTGTGCACAGTGTAACTCCTGAAAAACCTAAGCTGTTACGCAAGCCAGAAGTTCAATTCTACTATCAATTGCTTACTATTTTCATTTTCAATGAAAAAGATCACCAATGAACCCCACTCAGGCAAAGCCAGGTGGTGGTTCTGTGGTGCCACTCATAATGTCATTCAACACAGGCATCACCTACTCCTAGCATCACCGAGAGGTCAAGCCTCAACCAGAAGGTACCACACTCCGCAGCGCAGCAGCATAGCTACCATACCAGCCATGCCAGCAGGGTGGCCATTTGGGGCAGGTGGCCTGAGGTCATATATTTGATAATTGATGGTGACACAAATTATGGTATTTTTTAATAATATTTCAAAATATTGTAGGTTGTAACTCTAAATTTTAAGACTCTGCAGGCTATTGTTTTTTCATAGTGTTATCTTTTTTGGGAACTCAGTGTAAGTGGTGCACACTGCTGTGAGCACCCAAGGGCTGAACAGCCACCGCCAGCAGTCCGCTGCAGCTGGTCAGCCTCCGGGACTGGATGAGCTCTGAAGTTGGAACCCAAAAGCTTCAAGAATGCTTATCAGAATTTCAACAAACTCTTTGCCATAATGATTAGGTCAAAGCAAATCTTGCAATACCTACCTAATTTGAATTTCAACAATTTTGCAACCCAAACCGTTGGCCCGAACTGAAATATAAAATCATGAGAGCCTCCCTTGAGTTAGGCAACAAGACACTAAAAACTCAATCTTACAAGCATCAGAATGACTTACATCCAAAACTGTCTCATAAAAATAGCCATTTATGTAAACATCCAATAAATCCGCCCATCACAGAGGAGAAAATTCAAATAATTGCAATAATTCTACGGCGTTTATAACGCACTCACCGCCAAAATTATCGTGAACTTTCTGTCGTTGTGTCCGCCATCTTATGACGTAGGCAAGAGGAGGAATAAGCAAACTCTATCCTGCCGTTTTAACATTCGCGATTTTTTACGAATTCGAGTTGACTGCTGATGCAAATTTCGGAAATTTGAATGTGAATAAATTTTATGAATGGATTAAAATCACTTCATCAATTTCCGACTGAACGATTCTGTCCTTGCTGACGTCACTATCATGGCGTCGTTTTTTCCTTTGGTTTGATGACGGAAAATCGAGTGAAAATATTGCGTACGTATATTTTGATTTAGCGTTCAAATGGGAGCGCGGGATTTTGGATTTATGTCATTGAGATAGCATTTGTTTTATTTAATTGTTATTTAACTCTAGTGTGGTCCTGTGGTAGCCAAAAGCTTGCACTTATTTATCGAAGTTGAAGTAAGTTTTTTTTTTAAATATAAGTATGTGAAACCTATTGGATTTGTTGAATGTCGATGTTGAACAACAATCCACATCATGAAATCTTGATTATCCGTCATCTCACTATTCATTCAGGTTAGATTGCCACTCCTCACTTGAGAACTATGAAAGGAACTCAGCGCACATGACAATGATGTGAAATGATGACCACGCCATGTGTGAATCGCCTCTGGCATCAGAGTAGTGTGAAAGTAGAAAGTAGGCATGTAGTCTCTGTACCTACATCTTTTTTTTAAGCACTTCTTGTACAAAGAAATAGGGAATTTATGGCCTTTGGGGAGCTGAAATAGCTACAGTAATTTTCCCATGGACATTGTGCTCTGGTGTTAATTGCTAGAATAAGGAGAAATACCATGACCATCTGAGTTCTCTTTCACTTTGCATTTCAATTTGTAGACTGGAGGAGGGTGCTGATTCTGCAATTAGTACCCTTTTTCTGCAATGCTCTAAGCAGGAGTTCAGATTGCAATCACTAATGTGATGATGTTACTCCTCATGTGCTAAAAGAGGACATTTTTCAGCAATGCCAGTGTGCCATTTGAGCACTGGGTAGGTCTTGCCACTGCTTATCTTACTGCTGTCCTGACATCTGTTTTGTCTTTCTGATTATCACATACCATCAGTCTGTCATATCATAATGTTTGCATCAGCAATTCTGTTGTTTTCAGACCATGAAGCTGGCAGTGAAGCAGCCCAGTGAGAGTATGCCCAACATCCTCAATGAGGAGGGGAGTGACAGCATGCCAGCCACAGATGTAGACCAGGCTCAGCAGGATGAGGAAAATGAGGAAGCAGGAGGGGAGGAAGATGAAGGCAAGTGTTAATGTCAACACTGGTTCCTGTCTCTCTGGGTTTCCTACAAGTGACACATCTGACATAAAATAAAATATTTTACCTGGGGAGTGGAGGGTGAAGTTTAGGTTTCCCAGACCTGTTGCCTTTCTTCAGTGCTGTGGGTGAGGTCTTAAGGTGAGACCTCAAACCCTAGTCTGCTGTTTTTTGCAGCCCAATTAAGATGTTTTTTTTTTAGCTTTGCATTTGAAGATGCAGCTGTCAGCTGATGGTACCCCACGTCAAGGTCTCAAGTCAGAGGATGGCATCTGAGGCCAGGGTAATAACCCCAGGGCTGAACTCCTGTTTTTGGCAAATAGCTTCAGCAAAAAAGGCTGAAAAAGAAGCTTTCCTTTTTATTTCCAGCCATTTTGTTTGGAAAAGGTCAATGAAGATGTAGCTCTATGGTCAATGTCACAACAAAGCTTACCATACCAGGAAGCTGGTCTAGACAGCTCATATTGCATAACATTTGATTTGATAGCTTATTCTGATTTCTGAGCACATTTATTCTTTTTCTGACTAACTCAACTTGAGCTCAGTATTTTTCAAAAAGGCTCAATAACCTCAATCGAACCCAAGGTGTCATCCAAAACCCAACATACACTTATCAAAGCACCATAAATGATAAGTAGGTTGCAAAATCAGCCACTTTAGGTTTGATTTGGTCATTTACTGTGTGAAATTAGCAGTTTTCGTGTCTCCGTGTGGAGGCTCCTCGTGTGTGTCACGGCGCTGCTGTTCCACAGACGCGCCGATGACGGTGCCGGCCGACGTGTCGTGCATCGTGCCCGGCTGCGGCCGCCGCCACGGCCGCATGTGCACCTTCCCCGTGGATGGCGAGATGAAGACGGCCTGGACCAGCGTGCTCGAGGCCGTCTTCCCCGCGCTGGACGTGAACGCGCCGGAGCCGAAACTCAAACTGCTCTGTGAGGTGAGCACGCACACCAGTGCCTCATGGTTTATGCAATGTGAGTGGTCAGTTTCCATTATTTTATGGATTTCTCTTTCCAATACCTGCTTAAATTTGTTGATTCGTTAAAACCCACGCACATAATTTATGACCTTCCGTCGCCCGTTCTATCGCCAGGACCATTTCGAGTCGACCGATTTCGACGAGCGGGGCCTGATCCAGCCGGCGGCGGTGCCGACGCGCTTTCCGGGCGGCGTCAAGGTGATCTACAACAGTAGCGGCGACGCCGAGCAGCCGCCCGAAGAGGCCGAGGCCGAGGAGCCGCCCGAGCCGCCGCCCATCACCTGCTGCGTGCCCGGATGCAAGACCGAGGGACCCAAGGACAGGTGAGAAGGGACGGCTGGGAAGGACGGTCGGACCAAGGACAGCTGGGAATGGTGGTATGTGTATAGGGGCGGGACAGAGACTGAGGACACGTGCATGGGATGGGCTGAAGTTTGCTGACAGGGAAGGGTTGAGACCACGTAAGACGCCCTAGCTGTATCGCAAGGGCGATGTCTAGCACACCATCTATCATTAATTCTGATAATTTTTTGGGGTTTAACCAATAGCAGTTTGGCATTCGTGAGACGATTCTGCGCTCGTGTTTGGAACCCATAGCTTGTAATTTCATTGTACTAATGGTCTCAACCTGTAGTTCGGATGCGGTGAATACCCTTACCCTCGCCACAACTCGAGTCGGGGTGGCGCTGGGTGGGAGGAGGGGTGCACTCGGTCCGAGCTGTGGCGAGGGTAAGGGCATTCACCACATCAAAACTAATAGGTCGTCTATCTTGAGAACAATAGCACAATATATCCCCTATCGCCCATGACGCTGTGGTGACGGTGGCGCTGACCGCTCCGGCAGCATGTTCGAGTTCCCGGAGGACCTGCACCGCGCCTGGTGCTCCATCATCACGGCGGCCACCAGTAAACAGAGCTGGAGGAAGGGCGAGCTCGACCCCAAGACCAAGCGGCCCCTCGAGATGCGCGTCTGCAAGGTAACACTTCTTCCCGCTATGACCCATCTGAACGTGTCACACGTTGTTATTAGACAAGAACCATTTGTACAGTGAGCAGAAATGTTGATTGTTTTCCATTTATTCTCGTAGTTATTCAGAGGTGAAAGGAAAATTGCTACCAACTGGCTTAAGTAAGCCAGCCAACTCGATGTCATTTCTTCCCGGTAACTCCCCGATGATATTTACCCACCCGCTCACCATGCTGCTCCCCACCCGCCAGGAGCACTTTATGGCGGATAATTTCACCGAGGACAAGAAGCTGAAGCCGGGCTCACACCCGAGTCTGTTCGACGGCGGAAAGAAGAAGGTCATCCTGCGCCCGTCGCCCGCCGTGCCGCCCACACGTGAGCACGCTCGGCAGTCATGTGAACCTACATAGGCCGACTCAAGGCCCTAAAAACAGGCCGACTGTGGCCGCTGTCTGTCACTGCTGCCTTATTAGTGGCGGGATACCCTTGTCAACTGCTCACTGCGAGGGTACAGTCAAGCTCGCGTCGGGGACGATTTGTGTGAGATGGTTCAGCGATGTACATAGCCGTTGCACCCAGTGGAGACGCTAGATAAAGTGCAATGTTAACCGAACATTCAGTCGCTATCAGTCCGCATTCACTGAGAGTATGGCAGCCTCAATGAAATTTCTGTTCACGAGAAATTTACGTTCGTTGCCCATTTCCACAGCGAAGCCGAAGCCGAAGACCCATGGAAACGCGCGCAAGCCGATGACACCCAAAGTACCCAAGGAATCGTCAGGTAAACATCTAATCGGATTCACTTTCCTTTCAAAGCTGATCTTGAGCTTTTGCAATGTCACTCGTGTCGCAGTTTGTCACTGTTTAGTTTCCATTCTGGGATCTTAAACAATTATTCTTTGATTGTGCATAAATGATGGTAATTTCATTTGCCGTACTTTATTTTCCATCAAATAAACTGCATTTCAGCGTATCACAAAGACTCTGGGCTACTCGATGTCCGTTTTTATGAAATGCGTAATTTAATCATGTATTGATAATCCCATAAAATACATACGAATGTTTATTCTCATTGTCGCTGTCTCGCTCCTGCAGGCAAGAAGCTGGGCCCGGTGTTTGTGAACGTCACAGACGACGGTCTGCAGCTGCTGCACAAGAGCGGCACAGCCGTGCCGCTCTCCGACCTGACGCTAGCCGGTGAGTGGCCCCCGCCCTCCCCGCGCGGTTCAGCCAGACCGGGGTGGCGGGCGGTCGTGGCAGACGGTCCCGAATTACCGGCCTGTCTGAGAGATTTGTGTGCTTTGGTGAATATGTATGTTCCATGATGCTTATAGATGATTCACGTCGGGTGCCTTTATACCTACAAGACTTAGCTAGATTGCTTTGTTGCTGTCTAGGCGAATCTGTAATTTACTCGAGAAATGGCCATGAACCTAACTTGGGAAAGATTGGTACTTCATCTGTGACCTTTGTTCTCACTGTATATTCTCATTTATTTCTCTCTGTTTATGACAGAGCTGCGGCGCATCCACGAGTGCCTCAAGGACAAGCTGCGCGGGGAGCCAACTGAAGACGAGAAACGCAACCTGGAGAAGTGCGTCACCCAGGTACGACCCTATTCCCCGCGGGAGGTGATGACAGGAGCATATTCGACAAAGTGGACTCAGTTCTCAGTAGGACACGATAGGCTAGTGGCCTCCTCCATTGAGCTGGGGCCTTCGTTTTTCCTAAAGCGTCGTACTAAAATCTAAATTGCTTTGTTGGGTTCAGAGGCTATCACCGTCGACTGATGTGCTCAAGAGCTCAAGACAGGTTCAATACTCGCCACGATCACGCCATCAGCTCCGGTTTCAAACGTTGCCGTTTTTCAGGTGAAGCCGGTGCTGGAGGAGAAGGAGCTCAGTGACGCCCAGGATCCGGACAACTCGCCCGTCCTGGTGAGTCGAGGAGTTGCAGTGTTGGTCAGTCGTGTACGAGTGCTTAAACCGATCGATGCTATCAGTCTATGATTAACGGCAAAGTCGGGAATCGGGTGGAACACATTGCTAGTGCCTTCTATGAGTCACCTGTTTGTGATGGCCGAACGACAGCCTTACAACCAAATATGCCGTCCGGCCGACGCAAACGTAATTTACCACCATCACGGCTCTGATACGTTCTGCTCAGCCACCACACTCACAATAAGTGTCACTCAATGCTCAAAGGGTCTGTGACTCCGTACAGCATGTGTGCGCGTATACTCTGAGCTGTGACCGCTACTGCCGGCGGCAGTGGAGGCCGCTATTTGCCAACGACTTTTATCGGTGCCCTGTCCCGACACCGTTATGATCATGGTCTGTTCGTCTTATGACCATGTTCCGACCATGTTCTGGCCGGCATTGTCCGTCTTTCGACCATGTACTGTGTTTTTACCGCTGTCTGACCGTGGTCTATGCTTCTCTCAGGCGGACGTGATGGCACTCAACCCGGACATGCATGACGTGGACGTACGCCGGCTGGTGGATAGCATCAAACAGGTGGACAGCCAGGTAAGACCGCGCCTCGCTGAGGGAGAGGGCTACTCAGCGGGTTATTGGACTGGTCATTATAGTCTGGTGGGGTGGGCCGATTAGATAGACTGGTTTCGGCGAGTACGGAGCGTAATTGCAGTTTGAGAACTTGTAAGTTAGGTCAGGACTGGTGCCATCAGGCCTGCTTTGCATGATTCGTAGACGTTAGCTATTGTCATGTATCAATGAATGGTTCTTTGGCAGTTATAATTAAAATGTAAGAAAGTAACTAGTAGAAACTTCAGTTGCGGATCGCTCCAAATGCATGAGAAGAGGGAATTCGTTATGGGTATATTATGTTCCCGGTTTGTGACACTGACAGGAAGACAAACTGTGGTTTCGAGCGATACCAGTTGTGACTCTTGTGTGACCCTTCCGTTCGTCTCTTCGCTGCAGAGGCGGGAGTACGAGCGGTCCCTGTCTCGGTTCTTCGAGGACTCTGACTCGTACGCCCGCGAGTCGGAGGGTCTGACTCTGAGGATCAACACTCTCAAACGGAAAATATCCGCCATGGAGACCACGTGAGTATACCAGTAGGCGTACGCGACTAACTTGTGGATGGTCATCCCCTTAATGATGGAAGTGCTGTGGATGGTAAATTCTGAGTGTTATGACTCGTGGTGATTGTTTTTAGTTTCTTGACCCACTGACTCACAGCTCAAGCAATGATCGTTCACTATCATGTTCTTGCAATCATGCTTCACAGTCAAATCAGGCATCTTGCCAGTCAACGGTTTTATAGAAGAACAGATGTTCAATCAATCTTCCCAATTAGTCAGCTGCTGACCTATTGACCCGTTCTCCGTTGTCCGCCAGGTTCCTGCGTTTCTTCAAGTACAACGACCAGCGGCGAGCGTTGATGGGCGCCAGCACCGTCAAATGGGCGGTACCCACTCTCACCATGGCCAGAGATATCATACAGAAGGTGGGTACGACACACGTCGTCCTCCATCCAGCGAGGACGGCGGTGGTTACTGCAGCATTCGTCTCCCCTCTGTGATATGTAGCCTCCCTCGCTGCCCGGCCCTGAGTCTGACGATCGTCCCGTCCCCAGGTGGGTAAGACGGCGTACGGCCGTATCCTGCGCATGGGCTTCCCGCTGCCCTCTGCCGAGGTGGTGGCGGCCTCGATGGAGCGCGCCTCCGCCGGGAACGTGCAGTGGGGCCTGGTGGACGTGCTGGAGAACCGCGCGACCGGCGAGCCGCAGAGCATCCAGCCCGTCCCCATACCGCAGGTGAGAGACGTCGGCCACGTTTTTCTGGAGAGGTAGCGTAACAATCCTTGGGATGCTTTATCTTCTTGTAATTGTGCTGTTCTCATGTGTGACGCGTAACTCAGCCGTTCACCAAATCGTCGGTTTATTTCAGAACGGCACGACGGAGACGAGAACTGAAGGAGAGCCTGCCGCCAAAAAGGCCAAGACGTCCGGTAAGTACCCGCCGCTCTGCCGTGTGGGGTGTTGGAGGCCATTTTATCAGGCCAAAGAACAGTAGGCGTGACGTGCAAACTGACCTCGACATCCGCCTAGCATCAGGGGGATTACATATTGGCTTGAATTGACGATAAGTGTATTTGCTAGCCTAGCCATAACATATAGTTTGTCGAAGTGTGGTTTCATGTCTGCCCCTTGAAGCTCACGTGTGTAAGCTCAGTAGCCCATTGGTTGGTTGGATGCTGTTGTGGTTAATTCTTTCGCGCAAACTCGTTCCCTTCCTTCCCAACTGTTCCGGGCGCCAAAAAACCCAATTCATCATCATCATCATCATCATCCTTCCCAAATGCCTACATCGGCCGGTGATCCATTCGTTTGCGACTTAATCACTAGTACCGTGATCCTTTTGCCCCAATCATCCCCTTCCGCACCGCGGCCTGTCATCTCCTGGACCATCTCACGCCGTTGCCCATGGCCTGATCTTCCCAGATCCCCATCTTCTGTCACTAACCCCACGCCGTCCTCCCGTTCTCCACCCGCCGCGGCCACCCTGACACCCCTCGCCCTCCCTCTCCAGGTTCAGGAGAGGCAGCGACGACCGGTGACAGCGGAGCACTGCAGGGCATCACCGCCGAACACCTGCAGAACGTACTGGCCGGCAAAGGGTCGCTGGTCGACTCGAAGGGGCGCGTCATCAAGGTCTCCCTGGCGGACGTGCCCGGCGCGCCGCCCGGCGCCAAGACAGTCGTCATGGAAACACCCGATGACGCCGGCGAGGTGCGCTACGTGCCGGCGGAGGAGGCCGGGTCCGCCGCCGACGAGGAGGCGGCCGATGACGTCGAGCCCGCCGCGGAGACGGCGGAGGGCACCACTGACGAGGGGGAGGCGGCCGAGACGACCGAGACCTAGCGCAGCCGGCGGCGGCAGTGAGAGGCGCGCAGACAGTGCGCGGACAGACTGGAGAGCGCCCCACGACCGGGCGGCGGACTGAGGGCTGACTGGGTGCGTTATTTACCGTTTACGTTGTGCTGGGGACAGTGATTGATATCTCTCACTGGAGTCGCGCGCTTACTTCGTGTACCAGCCTATGCAGTGTGTCGGTATCATCCCAGAATTTTCTGACGGCACTGGCACGCGATGCCGTTGCATAAGAGTTGATTTGTGTTTTGTCTGATATCATCGACTCTAGGGCGGGGCGGCGCCATCACCGGTCCTGGCGTCGCACCATCTCATTAATGTTCATACTTAGCGAGCAATTCACCGCGTCATTGTGAATACAGGCGATCATCACCCGGCGTGTTTGTAATCGGCCGACACATTGGGCGCCGTGATGGGACCTCTGTAGCTCGCAGTGAGCTTGGGGAACGGCAATGCGACGATTGTCTTCGTTTATCGCCCCGAAGCGTAAACAATAGACGATTAAAAACCTTAAATGCAAAATAATTTATATATAGGCACAATATCCCACAAACAAGTGACAAGTAGCAGCTGGGACAGGTCGTTTTCATTAGCCGGCGCCGACGGTGACCGTGGCGGAGTCGACCTCCGACCGGTCGTCGCTCTCTCCCTCTGTCTCGCGCGCCCGCTCCTGCACCTTGCTGCTCTTCCCGATCCCCAGTCGTGGCCGGCCCTGCGGCGGGAAAATGAGGGGATAAGTGGCGTCAGACACAAATAGACAGGTGCAATGGACTCAGGACAATGGACTCAGATTCGGACATCACATAATGGAAGATAATTTGTCATAATTTGTCATCTTTACTCGTGACAACCTACTGGTAGCTTCGACTAGTGACCGCAAAAATTGTGACATCATGCCATGTCCAAGCGCTTTCAACAAAGTCTTCTATCCAGTCCCCAGCCCAACCCTTTTACCACCCAAAACACAAATCACTGGTCTGCATCATAGCACCGTGCCGTTCTAAAAGTAAAACTACTACACGCCACCCCTGCCCCCTCGGCCGATCTCCGGCCGCCTCTGACCTGGTTCAGTCCCTGCAGCAGCACGCACGCCTTGCAGACGGGCTGGGACGAGATGTACTGACAGCGCGAGCAGGTGCCCTGCGTGGGCAGCCGGGCGGCGTCGCGCACCGCCAGGCTCTCCCCCGAGTGGATGATGTCGATGATGGAGGTGGCTCGGATCGCCTCCAGGTCCTTCAGGTAGGCGCGCGCGTAACCCCTGACGGAGGGCGGGGATGGTGAGGTGGACGGAGAAGACTATCACATGCTATAGGCGGGAGGTCAGAGAACAGGGCTCTGTTCGGGTCCGCGCAAAATATTTTGCTGAGTGTGAAGTCACACATGCGATGATGTCAGCCGCCTGGCTCCGCCCATGCTCCGCCCCCTCTCCGCTGGCCCGCAAAGCCCACGCAAAGCCGAGGGCCACGCGAGACGCGGCGAACCGTGGCGCGGATGGACTGGTGTGTTTCGTTCAATTACTGAGTAAAATGCGTTCAAATGTGGTTAATAGCAATGTGCCACTGAAAAGAAAGATAATGATACCAAAATAACACCACACTAACCACTTACAATAAGAAATATATGAGGGTAAACTTTAATCCGCGCCACTCTCGCCTCCTGCAGCTACTATTTTCTTCTTGCGCAAAACTGAAAGATTTTGCGCGAGCCTACGTCACACGTGTGACGTCATACGCCGAAGGGCGGAGCTTGGCACCCGAGAGACCCCAACTGCGCATGCGTGGTGCAAAATTTTGCAATAGGATGCGCTGCCCGAACAGGGCTCAGGATAATGGCAACCAACAGCCAAGCAAACATAAGACTTCAGCAGCTGAGGGCTCGTTCACTAATTTGCCATGATTGAAGAGGCAGGAGTCAAATGCCTATGGAAAAGAGGCTTGGTTGGTTTATTTTGGTTTATTTGGTTGACCAATGAGTTTAATATTAACAGTCGTTCTAAAACAGGGCATATTGATCGCACCTGTCAAGAGATGGTGGGTAGGCGCCCAATGTTTGGCGCTGCCTTACCTGTACGCGTTGGGTGAATAGATGCACTCTGTAGAGAAGTAGTCGAGCTTCTTGAAGTAGGCATACATGACGATCTCCTTCTCGTAGGTGTATTTGAAAGGCTTAGAGCGTGGGATGGAACCCTCGGTACCCTGGGAACGAGAGGGAAAGTCAAACTTGGAATCGAACAACCAATATCGTCTATTCGTATATGATGTAAGATAAAAACACCAAAACCACCCAACGTTTCGTGTTATTCACTTTTTCAAGGGTGATAAGACACATTTTACCTACAGAGTCAAGTACGTTTTTTTCGGTTTCGTTCGAATATAGCGCGGGCACTTTTTCACAAATTTCCTCTGCCTTGCATGAGATATTGACACATACATACACACATACTACAAATTAACGTCTTTCCTAGCCAACAGAGCAGACACCGAAGCTAGTCTGAAGAATCCACACGAAGTGTTCAAAACATCACCTTTCGCAATAAACGCTGCTTCTATAATTCTCCGTTGGGTTTTAGAAAAGTTTTGATCTACATGTGTAATTCAAATAATCAACCAATATCGTGTTGCCGAGACAAACAATGGAGACCTATAATTTGCACCAGGATGTCGGTGATAGCAACTGTGATGCCAGCGAGAAAAACTCGGGCGCCAACAACACCATGTAACAACAATGACGCTGATACAAGTAAGGCACGACACACACACGTCTGCAGAACTGCATTTATAAGTTATAACTCCACCATTCTAGGCGGACGATGCAACAAACATCAAAACGCTCGTAGCTACCCTCCCCATAACATCAACGTTCTCGTTAAAACGAACCCCCACCCACCCACCATCCGACCTTCCCATCCCCTACGCCTCGCCTCTCGTTCCCAGGGACTCCGCCCGCCCGCCCTGTCTATAACCCCTGGCGTCTCACCGTGCTGATGGCAGTGCACCGCTGCAGGCGCGCGATGTCGCCCCTCAGCACGTTCATCACTACCGTCTCGGCGATGTCGTCAGCATTGTGCCCGGTGACGATCTGGTCGACACCCAGCTGGGCGGCGCCGCGGTCCAGCGCCTGGCGCCGGAACACGCCGCAGAACGTGCAGTTGTTCCGCAGACCCACCTGGGACGGAAGGAGGTGGGGCTGAGGTCAACCAGGCCAAGAACAATCCTGAATAAGAAAACCACACTAGCCCATACTACATCAAACCAGTCATCAATGGCATTTTTCTGGAAAACACATGCGCACAACTCGACACAAATCTACCCTGAGCACGCGTCGGAGCCCACCACCTCCTGCGGACCTGTTTTACGATGTCATCCATGGTCCAGCCGTACAGGTCCTCATACGAGAGCACGGTGAGCGGTATGCCGTACTGGTCCCGGTTCCTTTTGACCGTCTCCAGGCTGTCGTCGCGGTACCCCGTGATACCCTCGTCGATACTGAGCAGCACCAGGCGCAGGCCGTAGTCGTACCTGCAGGTCAGGTCAGATCGGGGTCATGACACCCCGTGATACCCTGGTAGACCCCAGTACAACCAGCACTAGCACCACTAGGCATTGGGATCTGGATCTTGCTGCATCTTACTACTGGGATGCTATATGGATCAGGTCGAAGAAAAACAGCCGTAACTCATGTCATTCGCCATACTTTCAGATAGAGGTTGCAGAGCACGCCCCTGCCCGGTACCATTATAACCCCACAATGCTCGCCCCGCGTCCGCGGCGTCACCCACCTCTGGTTGAGCTCCTTCATGACGTGGGCGAGCACGGTGGAGTCCTTGCCTCCGCTGGCCGCCACCGCCACGTACTGGCCGCGCCGGAACAGACGTGCCGCCGTCACCGTGTTGTGAACCTCCGTCTCAAATGCCCAGAAGAAACACTCGCGGCACAGCGCGTCGCCAGTCTTCGGGCGCTGCCAGAGGGAATGTGGAAGGTCAGATGGGGAGGCATGGGTAGCGGCTTGCAAAGCAAAAACGCAGTTATTTCGAATGATTGTAACGGTTGCAAGATACACTAAATATATCCCAATAAGCTGTCTCATATATCAAACACAGTGACATCAATTAGAGCGCGATCTTACCTTTAGGATGGCGTTTTTGCCGCAGCCAGTTTTACACTTCGGAGCCATCGCTCCTGAAAGTTTCACTTTTGTCTGTCGCTCAGTTATGTAGACCAGACGAGCAAGTGCCTGTAACAGAGTCAGACCGTAACAGATAAAATACTGATGTCTCACTTTTAGCAGCCATTTAGAGGGCAGGTCCGAAAACGACTGGCCTTTTTAGGGCAAGTCACAGTGGCGCATTGATGCTTAGCATTTTGCCTATCACGCAAAGTGTCGTGTGATTATATAGACCTGTAGTGACTCTTCGGAAGTGTGAACAGCGTGTTGTGCTGTTCGAGTGGATCTTGATTGATGGCACTTCCGAAAACTAGGTGAGAAAATGTTCGGTTGGTCTATTCGCCATTCGGTCTTTACATCAAATTCTAGTCCCTACCAAAAGTCGAAAACGAATCAGTATGCACGTCAATTCTCACCATATTTATTGCCAGTAGCATTACAGCGTAATACGGTGTTATCCAAAACCAGGAAGGTTGGCAGGGTACTGACAAAAACAGGCAATGGTCAGTTGCAGTCATTAAAATGAACACAACACCCGGCGCTTGTCGAGTTTGAGAACAGTCAACTCGTCAAAGCGCGAATACGTACAACGCAGGATACATATGTACAACACTACAACAGTGGCATAAAACCGCACGATAACCCCAATGGGTGGGATTACAAAAAAAAAAAAAATGATGGTACAAACGATCGAGATGGTATCGGCTTTCATTGTGATGAACGCTAAAATGAAAACGAGCGAGGCATGATGAATAGCACAATTCGACGCACATGCGCCCAGCATGGCCGGCCCTCCAATTCATCGACAGCGCATCACAAATTGACACTTCACCGCTGACGACACTGTCACCAGATCGTTTTGCCACTAGTCTCTCACTCGACAGTCCGTTCTGGCTTCAAAACGCCAGAGTCCTGGGCAGCCACTGACAGCAGCCCATTGCCGCGGTGCCACACCTGGTCACCAAACACTTCACTAAGGACCACGGCGATAGCCTCCTCTCCTAGCAGTCCATGGCTCATCCTGTCCCAAAGTTCACAGTTCACGCACCGCAGCGCTACACAAAGCTGTCGTCGTCGTCCGGCACGGGCAGACTGTCCTGCTCCTGTCCCGGCGCCGGCGACCCGGCTGGAGAGTCGTTCCGCGAGCCGGGCTGGTTTCTCATCCTGTCCCCTCCACCGCCGCTGCTGCTATTCAGCGGCCCCAGCGCCGACGACAGGCCTTTCTTCTGCTCCAGCTCCGCCCATGGATTCTCCGTGGCGAACCTGACGAACGTGTCGTCGAAGGAGAGCCCGCCGCCGCCGCCGTGTCCGCCCCGGCCGCGTGGCGTGCCCAACCCCCGGCCGCGCGGCGTGCCCCAGCCTCCGGCGCCGCCGCCGCGCGGGCTGCCCCGCGGACTGCCCCAGCCGCCGCGGCCGCCGCGTGGGGACGGAGTGAAGTCAGGCAGCCGGCCGCCGGGCGACGGCGACTGCACCAGTGGTGAGAAGCGGGCGGCACGGCCCCGGAACCCGCCGCCGCGTCCGCGGGGCGTGAACGGCGAGCCGCCGAAACTGGACCGGTTCATGGCGCGCCAAACTCAGATGGTCCGACACGAGCACACTGGAGTCACTGACCGAGCGCCGCTTCAGGTCTGTCACTGGCTGCCACTGAACACTAGCAAACCAGATATCAAGTGCCAGTGCAGTTAGAGGCGCTCCTCACTGTGTGATCGGTACTGAACGGTTCCACCACTGGGCTTCAACAACCTGAACCAAAAACAATACGCAGTTGTGAGAAATAACAATAAAATATAATCAGGCTCCTTAAGAGTCATGACCGATGCAACAACACAACTGGCAGCTTGGGCCCTAAAACCTGAAGAAGCTGTTAACTAACAAGATGTTCAAGAAGTTTTCTGACTGAAACTGCAGCATTCAAATGTTTTCATTTCTTATGATAGATATTTATGTAGGAACTGTTAACAATAGGTAGGCTCTGATAAGGCTTCAAGAGAAATTGGCTTCAAGACAAATTAGAAACTAACAGTTTAAATAACTATCTTTTGAATTGTTATTTCATAAATCTGTACTAAAACCCAAAATGCATGGGACTTTTTTTACCAGTCCCTGCATCATACCTTCAGTAAATAAGAATGAAACTCCACATAAAATGACTTGTCTTATTAATTTTAGCAGGAAATTGACTTGATCATCTAGCATGGTTCAACTCTAATGCATTTCTTTGTGGTAAGCCTGTTTGAATTTTTTGTCTATCAGATACCTACTGGGATGGTGAAAAATGCAAATGAGGGGGCCTGCTAACACAAGGCTAGCCTTGTGGTATGGCAACAAAGAGAACAACAGCTATCTGAGGAGGATTAAGCCAGCAGACAATTATGTACAAATTATAATTTAAAATATTAACAATACCACCTTTATTTATTTCAGTTTGATAAAAAAGTTTACATCAGCTCAGCTTGCTTTACCTACAAGTACCTACTGGCTGTATATCAAGTACCAACCAGCCAGACTGCAAAGCATGGCAGCAGTTGATAAGAAAACCTACCAGCTCTAGTAGCAATTGTGGAGAAAAGGATGAGCTAGCACCAACCACTAACAGGCCAGAAATCCTTATTAGCCCACAGTCTGCACTGGACAATGCCAACAACCTTCCCCAGAGAATTCATAAAAGTGCACTGGTGGCAATATGACACCAGTCAGCAAATGCTTAGCCATATACCATTAAGCCATATCACACCATTAAGCACCACATCCAGTGGACCAAGTGCTAACCTGAACTCTCACGCTATTCCAGGCGGTCAGGTCAGGCAGCGGCAAAAGGCAATGCCACATGCATTGCCCGGGAATCAAACTTAGATGGCTGAATCTAGAGGCAACGAACTTACCCCTAGACCAGAATGCTCCCCTACAGATACAGACTGCCTAGGACCTCCCCTCCCTATTCCAATTCAAAATGACTCATGCTTGGAAGGATTGGAGTTCAGTTCTTGACATAAACTAACAGTGTATCTGAAAAAAATATTGAAAGTACACTGCATGAAAGTACACCCAGTGCTATAGATTGAGGCACGTTTGAGGAAATGACACATAGGTACCCAAAATATTTATCAAAATCTCAAAAACACAAAAAACATGGGGTAAAGGCGTGTTACCTACGCAAAAATATAGCCTAGCGTCAAGACAGTAAAATTCTGTTCGAAAGCGTTATTTGCAGGAGCTGGGGTACTCCTCAGGAGGCGGAGCTGCAGGGATCGTTCGCAGTCTGCATCCATAAGCAGTACTCGATTTCAGTTTTAGAACACACCTTCCTGGATGTAAATGATGATGGTCGACATTTTAAAAGTGATGTCATAGATTCATAAACGGCGTTTACTCATCATTGGTTTATTTTCAAACCCAAGACACTTGTTTCCACTTGCTAGTCATTAACAAAAGTGAGTGAGTGAGGGCTGATGACGTAAGTAATCAAAAAATAAATTCTTTTGGAAAGTTAGTAACTGGTATGTAATGAACCTTGACAAACGGGAGAGTGGAGGAGACGACGAGAGACACGACGCGCTGAGGCTCGACTTGTTTTATTTACGGTATAAAAACGGATTGAGCCGTCTACTTAGAGAGATATATTGATAATATTGAAATATCTTCTTTCAACCCAATAAGCCTTCTTTGAAAACAGCAGTGGTCTTCGCTTGGTGAGTTTTGGCTTCTTATCACTGGATCAGGATTGGGGGCAATCCCGTACCCAAGTTACTGTTGGTTGATTGATGTCAGTGTGTAGCAGTCTTGGGATGATATATTTTTCAGATTTTCAAGTTTCAACATTAGGACCATTTAGGATAGTCCGTATCCATCAGAGATGCTGTTAACCTGGCAGTTTTATCCTTCCAAGCTGTAATAAAGTTGTGGTGCGCCATATTCGCCTTCATTCCTGTTGTCAGGATGTTCTCCCAGTACCCCAGACCATGCCTAGACAAACCCAAAACCCAGGGGTTCTCAAGGGGTGCCGATGCTAAGGCGACGGGGGTTAGGGTGGTCCATTTTGCAAAAGTTTCTAGGATCTTTCGGGTCGGGTCGGAATTCTTGTCGATACCATGATACAAGGTTGTGTGCAAAATTTTATTCCGATCGGATAAATTTATCCCGTCCCGCAAAGCGACCAAAGTTTTCCCTATGTTATCAATAACGGGGCGAGCGATAATACGAATTCTCCCACTCAGTCCACATTTTTTTGCTCAATACGCACTGGCAGTCACTAAAAAAAGAACAGCAAAGGAGAGAAACACATCAGAGTGGAATAGGCATCCGTGAAAATAGCATATCCAAAATCCACCGTGCGTGCCATCATGTACTATTGGTCTAAATATAAGGGCCCAGGCGACCTGTAGTTTTAATGCGGTGAATACCCTTACCCTCGCCATAGCTCGGGCCGAGTGCATCCCTCCTCCCACCCAGCGCAACCCCCACTCGAATTGTGGCGAGGGTGAGGGTATTCACCGCATCCGAACTACAGGTCGCCTGGGCCCTTATCTTGAGACCAATAACATAACACCAATATCCCTCTCAGATGCAACGTCCGGTGCAGTGGTGCTCCTCGACCTGAAGGAAGTGCTTTTACTATTCCTTGCCGTGCGCGATGGCGCTAAAAAATTCCCACTGATGAGGGCAACAGTGCGATACCCAGCTCTCGCAAAGTCGTTCACCACCCTTATATGTGCCGGTCGCCGATGAGCAGTGGTCAAGTCGTCATTGTCTGACCACTCGGCCGAGTCGACATTGAGGAAATCGTGGCTGGCCCCGAGGGATGTACCGACCGATAGATGCAAACGACGCCAGCGAGCGCTGCCCTGCCCCACTGGCACTGCGTCGAGGGCGACTTCGGCGCGGCAGGGTTCTTCTCTCTCAGCCGCTGCTGCATGGAGGTGGCGATCGCCTCTTTTCCTCGACCGTCGTCCCGTCGTTGAAGAAGGAGAGACCGATGGCCTTGCCCATCACCTTGCCCGGTTACCGTCCGATATCTGTGTGGTAAGCGGTAGGAGCCTTTGCGGAGGGCGATGTCAGTTCATGATGCTGAGGTCGATCAGTGGGCAGACAGCCAAGGTGCTACTTACCTTGTGACGATGAAGGTGGTGAACCGGACCATCGTCCTCTTCTCGTGCTCGGTGAGCGCGAGCTGACAGAAGAGTGTTCTTGAGAGTGTTCTTGACTTGAGAGATCTTACGTCTTGATCACCTTTGCCATCCAACGAGCGCATTGTAGGGCAACCGGTTTCAGGATGCTCGCTTCCAAGTCACCGTCCATCACGACGATGGTGAAGTACACCACATTGCGGTAGTCATCACGGGCCGCTGCTTCTTCAGCAATGCGCGTCAGGTGACGATCATCTTGTCGAAGTCGATTAAGTCATTGAGCGGTTTGAACGACACTCGGTCCGTGAGCTGCCACCACTTTACAAACCGCTTGAAAGACGGGGTCGCGGGAGTCCGGGGCCTGAAGACGGATGGTGTGAAAAGTGAAAAGATGCGTCATGCATTTCGTAAGAGGCTCTTTCATCCAGCAAGGATTTGCTTCTGGTTGCCAAAACAAGCCACATTTCGATGATTGAGCGTGTGCCTTTGCAGCTTCAGCGGCCATCCCAGACGCAGGCGAATTCATAACTAGCGTAATGCATTCGCACCTCCTGGCATACAGGGCATTGCCTGGCACTGAGAACAGGAACTGCAACAGGAACTGTGGATTATCGTTCCTGCCTGTGGCTGATAGAAAGACCAGATCTATCATTGAGAAGACTAGAGAGGGTTGGTGCGTTGAGCAGGCAAGCTCCTTGGTAGATAGCCGCTGGCGCGACTGGGCAATGTTGAAAGACAAGTATTCGCCCTATGCTAAAGGCTGGTACGTTATAATGGAAACTTTGACCGCTTTGCGGGACGGGAAAAAATCATCCGATCTTAATGAAATTTTGCACAGAAACTTGTGCTATAGTATCGACAAGAATTCCGACCCGGCCCGATGAATCTGACGAACTTTATTTTTTACCATGTAAATGTGGACCACCCTAACGGGGGTGGAGAATTAGGGGTTTTGGGGATGCTCAAGCACCCCCTGAAATTCAAAAGTCACCGTGAAATAGTGCTCCAGGGGTGCTTAATTTACGCCTGAGACACAAACTGCTTTGCGTAAGCCGCGAGGAGAGTGATGCTGCTTGGAAAACGTACCTACACATGCTTTTCTACGCAAGAATTCGAAGCTTCCATTCGCCAGATGCTAGAGAAGCACCCCCTGGGATTATGACAATTTTCCGCCCCTGTAAGGCGATACCCCGAAGACATCACCATCATCATGTTTATCAGGCTGGAAAACTGCTTTCATGAGTTCAAATTTCAAATCACTTCTTGCTCATTGCATTAGAATGGATAACATATTTATTTCCTAACTTACAGTTTGAAGCACTGCGAGTTGGGAGTGAAAAATATGCTGTGTATTCCAAAAGAAGCGAGACTGATTGGTAAATGTCAAGTTTAAGTCCTAAGAAGATTTCATTGATGAATTTTTCATATTTTTACATTATTTGACATCCTGAATCCAAAAATGATACTCATATGTTTCGCAATTAAAAGGAAAAAAACAATCAAACCTGACCTAACCTTACCTACAAACCTACCTACCTACAACCTAAAACCTACAAACCTACAACCTAACCTAACCTAAAACCTAAAATTTTTGCTGTTTCATATTCGTATCAACAGCGTCACAATTGTAGTTAGGACCTAAACTTGACATATACCGACTGATTTGCAGGAAAGCTGACACTGACACTAGCCAGGGCCCAGGAATGCTTTTCATTTCTTACTCTCCTAACCCCTCGCAAATCACTAGCCAACTAATGACTAAGCCACAAGTATATGCTATCTTTGCCTATAGTTTGTTAGCTTCCTCCTGCAATACCTACCACTCAAATTTTTCTGTAAAGCTCTAGCTCTCAGGGATCCAATGGCTTGGAGCCTGGAGGAGGTCACTGGTCAGGTCACTCTTCCCCCCCCCCCCCATACATCAGCAGCTCTGATAATGCCAGACTTTGTGGCACTGTGTAATGTTTGCTCAAGTGAATTGACAGGGATCTGATGTGGACACATTTTGCGTTCATCACATGCATTCTTGCTTTGTATTGTACTTATCATTGCAAGCCGATCCATCTGAAAATGGCTATTATTGGCTGCAGAATCGGGTGAAACGAATGAGGTGGGCATAACATTACACACTTCATACACGTGTCACCTTTGCACACATATTTACATTTGCGCCACCGTGCTGCTACACACTGGCCGGGTCGCCGTGTTGCTCACGCAGTAGTAGCTTCAGATACTCTCTTTGAAAGAGCCTGTGACCGAGATTGCGCAGCGCCGGAGGCAGAGCGTTATACTGGATACAGTGGCGTATAGGAACCGGCGGCGCCCGGATTCCGTTCTAATCACGGGTAAATCGAGCAGGTCGGACTGACGCGTATCATGCCCATACGCGCTGCCTCGCGACAGTTCAGTTCAGCATTCATTCATATTTGCGTTCATACATTCATACGTTCATTCGCTCATTCGTTCATTACAGTATTGCCTGTAAGGACTTTGTGTGAGAGCTCTCAATGTGCATGTAGCATGCCACGATTTGTCAGTGCACTCTTGCACACCCTAGGTTTGTAAATGCACGCCTGAGCAAGGCTAATGGTGGTACTGTGCAGTGTGCACCTTCGAGATCCCATCGAAATTTGCCACGTTTTGCAGTCTGGCCTTCGTCGGAATGCCGATGTCTAGACGCCGGCACGTTTTTACGTCGACGTGACGTTGGTATGTTCATTGAGGATCTCTGTGCACTGTCCAGGGGCTGGGCTGAAAATAAGTGGTATGTGATGCCTGCGTGGGGTCCCCCAGTGATATTTTTAAAGGCATCTTATAGGGGAATGGGGTACAAGTGGTTGATGATTCCGTTTTGGTGGGCTGGGCAAAGATTCGCCAACGAATTATATGCGTAGACGAAGATTTGAGTTACATGCGTGCGCAGGTAAATGAAGAAGACAAGGGAGGGTGATGAAGAAATGCGTAGGTAGCCAAATATTGCCATCAAATCAATGAGAGATGAAGATCGAGTATTTACCCTGTATTGTCTACACAAAATAAGAACAGAGGATTCTCCTCTCATATTAGCAACTAGCTAATTTTTACCCAATCAAATGTGTAGCAGTTGTTTGTTTAGTTGCATCGATTTCTTATTTCTAAAAGAGAAGTACATAGGTTCAGGTGTTTCCACCAATGCACGGCAAAGTACAAAATTTGCTGACAAAGTGACAACACCACATAACTTGCTCGATCAAGCTCTGCATGACTGTGGTGGTGTGCAGAATTAATTGGTGCCTCGTCACGGGTATAGGCACGTCCTCATGGCCCAAGACGCCCCTCTCCGGGGCCGCCGTGCCGCGGCATATCGCACTGGGCACTAAAAACTGGGCGGCTGACCTCACATTGGCTCCATTATTCACTGTGACGAGGGTGCGAGTGTCAGGCTGATCAGGATCTGTTAACAGATTGTTCACCAGTCATACCAAAAGAGCTGTCACTGATTTAACAATGGAAGCTTTTGTAATGACAGTTGAGTCGTCCTACCAATTGAGTCGTCCTTCTGTCATCATTGCCGTCTCACGGACCTGTGAGCCGCTCCGACTGTGTTGGCTGGTGACCTGACGTGTCACCTGTCTGGTGCCACAGGGACGCGTCTGGAGACGTACCGGACCGGCCTCACCATGTCTGCCGCCGAGCAGATGCGGGCCATGCTGGACCAGCTGATGGGGACCAGCCGAGATGGTGAGTGGAGACCGCTGGCGGCGGGCTGGCCGGCCGGGCGGCGGGGCAGGATGGCAGCCCACCGCCCCACCCGAGAGACACGGCTGAGTGCTGAGCTTTGCGGAGGGAAACCGGGGCGGCTGCTGTCCTCCCGGCCGACCCGACCGAGGCCGGGCCTGGCAGATTCGACGCTATCACAGTGGGGCCTTAGCTGTATTCGTGGGGATAAGTTTTTGTGTATTTAGGATTGACTAAAATTTGGTAGCAGAAACCTTCTTTATGTTTGTATATCAAGTTCTTTTCCTTGAAAACACGTCATTACATGCATTCAGTTTTTGCTGTTACAATGTATCTTTCAATTTGGACTGTGAGGGCGGAATGGAGAGGTGAATAGCTTTGGGGACTGTGCTTACTGCCACTGCCACTGTATTCGCCGCGGCATTGGATCGGTCGGTGCTGTGCTCTGCTGTGTGCTCGCCACTGGTCTGACAGCTGATAGTAAGCAGCGTGTGTTTTCTTCTAGGGTGTGGCCAGCTAAAAATGCGTGTTTGCCGCCGTCAGATGCCGTCAATCACGTGTGTATTACCCCCATTCAGTCACGGGCCAGTCAGTCGCTCTCTATCTCATTAATCACTGTAGCACTCTGATGTTTGAGATCACTCTGGATAGATGTCGCTACATATCGTTCTAGAGTAAGTGCTTTGGTTAATTTCATTTGGGTTTATGTCCAGACTTGCTTTTCACACTAACTCCTGGTAATTTTGCTGAACTCTTTATGAGAATAACACGAAAGTTTGATTTGTGCAGACATCCCACTGCAGAATCTGTTCTGTTGTCTATTGTGTGATACCGTTCCCGCACGAAGAAGATTGGGTGAGTAGGACTTTCTGGCGAGTGGCCATCGACATATCTAAGCTGTAATTATTATTGAGCTGTAATCATTCTCATGATTATGATCGACCCAAGCATAGGAGCAGGAATCAAACAAAAAACTTGTGGAAATAGACCTAAGTTCTAGCCAATGCAATGCAGTAAGTTACGAGCTTCGTATTAATATAATTTTGTAAATAATCGATTGGCACTCGACGTGAAGCAGCCATCTATTTTTTAACGATTTTTTTCTCTTAAGGAGTGAAAATGCAAACAATTTTGCTTCTAGAATAGTTTGCTTGTTTAGTCAAGGAAGCTGTTTGAAAAGCAATAGTTAATGTTACATATTGTCTTAAAATTGAGTTTTGGTTACTATTTTTGATGATCAGTGTTTCATTGCAAAATATTATACGCTCCGTTGATTCTTGCTCCTTGGCCAGGGTAGTAGAAACTCAAGTCGAACATTTCGGTTTGGGTTCTCAGTCGATAAGTGGCTAAAAATGTCCTCATTTGAAGATCTAAAACGCTCATTATCCTTGTCACTTCTACAGAGAATTCGGCTGCCATCTGCGACTAAAAAGAAATGAGTGCAATTTCGCTTCATTTATCAAATACTGTGGTATCTTTCGGGCCCTTACAGTAGTCTATGGCGATCGGTTGCCGTATGTCATATGTTCTATGCTTGTATGCGCCCCGTTTCGCGATCCTCCGAGGTAAGGGAGGCCTGTGACGAGCTCTGCGGAGCGGACGACACCCTGGTCTGGCCAGCGCCGCCCCGGAGGTACAGGCAGAGCGTGCGGGCGCGCCGCAGGGCCGTTAACACCCTTGCAGGAGCAGCGCCGGATCGGCAGACGGCGGCGCGCGTATTGTGAGTCCGAGAGCCGCTGGCCGCGCAGCGTTTCCATGGCAACGTCCGGGGGTCGTGGTTGCCATGGTGACGGCGCCGCCACCGTCGCCCTCCCCGGTGTCCCCATGCCGTGTCACGATGGTCCGGTGAAGGTCATGCCAGGGACGACACTCGCATCAGGTCTTTTCATTTCGTTGCATTTTGACATTCAAATCATTTCGACCATGTAACACCATAAATACTAAACGAGGTTTTATTTGTCTACTGAATGATGTGAGCGTCGTCCCTGATTAGAGCTAGATGCCTTTATTCCATTGGATTAACATCCTTGCAATGTTCGATGGTGCGATATGTAGTTTATTTTTCGTGCAAAAAGGAAATCCTTGTTACATCTCCTGCTACGTGAGAAAAGTGCAGAGTAAGAATGTATTGCTTCTCACCTGTCTTCTGTGCAACGAAAAACCTCGGCGGTATTTCACATCAGCAAAACAGCTTGCTGATAAGATTTATCTTTCGACGTTTCCCTCTGTGGCATCCTGTTGATCCTCTGCATGTGGCATCAGAATATCTGCTGGTGGTGGTCCCTTTCCTGACATATAGCCTCGTTGCCGGTGCGCCCTAAAACACCACACCTTTCCTCATACATCACCCATCAGGCGACCGTAGCCTATGAGCAGGCGTTTCCGCGGCACGGGGGTCTCGGCTGTGATTCTGCGACCGACAGAGGTTCCCCGGTGGGGGTGGGGACCCAGCCGGCTGGTACGAGCGCGGGGAGCGGGCAGCGGTGGCCGCACCGACTCTGACTCCCCTCCTGTCCGCCAGGCGAGTCGAAACTCAGCGTGCGCTTCACCGACCCGAAGGTCTGCAAGAGCTTCCTGCTGGGCTGCTGTCCCAACGAGATCCTGGCCTCGACGGTACGGTGGTCGCCGGTCCTCGGGCCGGGCCGGGATGGGGCGGGTGACCACTGGTTCTTAGAGTGGGTTTGAGGCGGGTGTGACTCTGAGTTGTCATAGTGGGAGTATCTGTCATTGGTTACATTTTATTACGTGTTCTCAAATACCGGTGTTTAGGAAACATTTGTGCCTATCAAAAAGGTACGTACTTATCTCACCAATTCGATATTCGGTGTTAATTCTTCCCGGTGCTGGAGCCCGAGTGTGTGACACCGAGTGTGACCCGTGTGCTCCCGTGGCGGCCGTTTCAGCGGATGGACCTGGGCACGTGCTCCAGGATCCACGACGTGGCGCTGCGGGCCGACTACGAGTCCGCCATCAAGGAGAAGGACTACTTCTACGACATCGACGTAAGCGCGCCGCCGCCGCCGCCGCTAGTCAGAGACGGGATGGCGGAGCACGCGGGGAGGCTGGAACAGCGGGGATCTTTTGTAGGATGTACCATGCCTGAGTCAAGATATCACTGCTAACCACTGTCGTAGGTTTCCACACAATCCACAGTATGCAGATCCAGACATGTTCTAGAGCGCTAAACGACAAAGAGCTCAAAGTAATAGGGCGTAGTAACCACTGTATTTATAATTTCTCAGAGATGCACCGGCCAGTGGCGCCTGCAAATATCCTCTAACAGGACGCGTCTCTTCGTTTCTTCTGATGCGCTGTATCTGCCTTCCCAGGCTATGGAGCACCTGCAGTCATTCATCCAGGACTGTGACCGGAAGACGGAGCTGGCCAAGCGCCGACTGGCCGAGACTCAGGACGAGCTGTCGGCGGAGGTGGCCGCCAAGGCGAACAAGGTCAGTGTGACGCACGGGTGGGTGGGGCCAGGCTCGGATCTTGTGGGATTGAGACCTAGCGATGAGCACGTCGACTGGAAAAGGGTCTTCTAACAATGCATTAGTGTGGACTGTGGGTACTTATTGTTTTGCTCACTCTCGTACTATTGGGACAAGGCTCTTGTCTTTATCACCATGGGTATAATCAGCGTTATCGCTGATATTTGCGCTGGCTGAACGTCTAAAAGCCGACGTATCTGCGCTTTGTAATGGCGTGTCATTAGCTCACAACTGCTGAGCCCTGTATCGTTACTCGTCTATGGTTTGTAGCTCAAGTCTGACCGTTTCGCCGCTCCCCGTCCCTCGCCTTCAGGTGCACGAGCTGGCCGAGCAGATCGGTAAGAAGCTGGCGCGGGCTGAGGAGCTCGGCGCCGACGGACTCGTCGAGGAGAGCATGAAACTCATGGAGGAGGTGAGGATGCTGCAGCTGCAACCCGCCAAGGGTGGGGTGGGGGGGGGGGGGGCAGGGCCGGGGCGACTGGTGATGATAGTATTTATGAGCGAGCTCACTTTTTTCAGTAAACTTGCTCAGCTTATATCGACGTATAATCAGCTGACGCTTATGATTTTCCCCGTAAATGCTTTTCTTGTGTACCTATATTCTGCTCCATCGCCGAGTCGAACGATTTGCCGCTGGTCTGACCATCCCGGCTGATGTGACTGTGCGCCGCTGACCGTGTGCCCGTCTGTCCACCGCTGACCTGAGCTGACCGTGCGCCGCTAACCTGACCCTCCGGTCCGGCGCCGCAGGTGGAGGACATCCGTAAGCAGAAGGCGCTGGCCGAACAGGAGTACCGCAACTCGATGCCGGCGTCCAGCTACCAGCAGCAGAAGCTGCGTGTCTGCGAGGTGTGTTCGGCCTACCTGGGCATCCACGACAACGACCGCCGGCTGGCGGACCACTTCGGCGGCAAACTCCATCTGGGCTTCATCAAAATCAGAGAGAACCTCGCCGAACTACGGGTGAGCACGGATGAGGCTGGGGCGCTTCGCAGTCGAAGTTGCTATTATGAAGCCCCTTCGCTTATATTTCTATGTCTATATATAATTATTTTTGTGACTCTTTATTCGTTCATGCTTATTGTGTTTACTCAATTATTGAAGTGAAGCGTTGCAGGCTGTGTAGCACGCTACATCTTGAACATTTAACGTAGTATCTTTTCGGCACGGCTCGGTCCGGCAGTCCCTCTCCCTCGCAGTCCGGCCACACGCCTAGCTCGCTTTCCCACACCCAATTCCCCCCCCCCCCCAGTTCCCCTAATCTATCACTGTCCGCACAGAATGGGCAGCCGTTAAACTCCCATTAAGACGCGCGCTTTTGGAGACAGCTACCGCAGGATGAACGATTCGAACCCCAACAAGTAACAGCTGGATCAGTAACATTGTCAACAGCTCATGGACCCACGCCGAGGACAGATAACGGCTGGGAGCGCTGGATCAGTAAGATATGTCAACAGATCATGGAGCAGTGTCAAGGATGGATGCCGGCTGGAGCACACAGCCTCCTTTGTCGGGTACATCAGCCCAGGGTGAGTGACCCTGGCAAAACAACCGGGTGACCGACCTCACAATGGCCTCATGAGGTAGTTCCAGAGATCTCCGCAGAGGAAGAAGGCGCTGACTTACGGCCACACCCGGGCCAGTGGGCGGAGCAAGAGTGACGTCACAAGGGGCGTTGCCGGCAGACGAAACGGAAGGAAACAAAAGTTTGAATAAAATGAAATTGAAGAATCAAAATTAAAACTCGAAAATCACAAACCTTTCGGGGATTGTTTTATGCCAGCGATTACTAAAATGATAAAGCACTCAACACGAAGACGATTCGACGGCCAAAAATTGCAGGCACAGAAGAGCAAGGTGACTAAACAGGACAGAGGGCGCCATCTTACGGCCCCACCCACCAGAAGAAGGCAGAGGAAGATGACGTCGCAAGGGCGTGGCAGTCACCCCTCCCCCCCCAACTATAAAAGGGTGCGCCACCCAACCAGAGGCAGAATCACAGTCGAGCAGCCGAGAGTCACAGTCCACAGCTGGAGCCGGAGACGCCATCTGGGAGCCGCCGTCAGTCCGGGTCACCCGCGAGAAGCCTCTTCAGTTCGAGTGACCAGAGCCGGAGGACAACCGCCGACGCTTGAGACCACACTGAGAAGCGGAAGCGCAGAGAACTCCAGAATGTGAGTGTTGTTGAAAGTCTGCTCAATCCCAATCCTTGCCCCCCCCCCTCTGCCCAGCGTGCCGTGCCCGTGACGACTGCCAAACATTTTCGGTTACCATAAAATGCACTCTCAATTGGAATTGGAAAACTTAAATTACTTTGAACTTATTGGTCCAGACACCCTAGTAGCATGTTAGGATCTGAATTTCGAGGTCATGTCAGAGTCGCCAGCAAACCGTTATTGTCAGTGGGAGTTCACGATTAGGCCAAGAGCGAGATCCGAAAATTTACATAAGTAGCTCAGTGTCACGAACGCTGAAATTGATGACAGGATGCGTGACAACGTTGAAATGTCTTTGTCTTCGGTCAAGATGGTTCGTTCGATTTATTATGGGCGATGGCCAGGTGCGTTTTGAGGTTGGAACGTTTGTGAAATAAAGGGTTTAGATTCGTGCTGTACTCACTAAAAGTTGCATTGCGAAATCATTGGTAATATTGCTGTAATCTAAAATGGAAGCTAAAATGGAAGTCGAAATCAATTATAGAACAGGTAAATACGTTTGAAAGGAATGTAATGTTTTAAGGTGGCGACTGATTCATGCGATCGATCTATGAATATGGCTATGAATTATGATTTGCGACAGATACGAATGCTTGAGCGTACGGCGGAATTTTTCCTGTTACTTAGGTGCATAGTTGCGAGCAGTGGTTTGAGGTTGACGGTTTGACACTTTGCGACTTTAGATGGTCACTTTGCGTCATTGAAATTGCGAAATGTCGAGTAACAGGTAGATGTAGAAATGTTTGTGGTTAGAACTAATATGCGACTAATATAGGTACCGATCGTTGTGCTTTGTAGAATAAATACTAGAAAGGACCAGCTTTGTTGGGAAACGATCAAATGGGACAGGAGTAAAAAAAAAAAAAAAACTTACGTGGAATGGAGCTGATGAGATGTCGAACAGGGAGATATCGAAGCGATATTTTACCAGATTCACACTCACTGACACAGCCGTTGAATCTCCCGGCCCGAAGAGACCGCACACACCAGTACTGCACCGCGAGTGATGACGCGCCCATCGCGGCGCGGCCTTGACAACTGTCGACTGTCGACGCGGCGCCGGCCGGCGGCCGTCGTAATCGTCGTTCCCGACACGGGCGTTGAGCCGCCAGAGGGCGCGAGAAGCAGCCACAACAGGGGCAGTGGGTTAGCCGTAATTGGGGCGCGGGCGGTAGGTGAAGGTCACGTATAGGAGTCTGGTTAGTTGCGGAAAGTTGCAACGGGATAAGAACGTAGACAGTTAAATATGATATGCTATATGATATCTAGGACTGCACTTCGTTTGATGCGCATTGTTTACTGCTAATAGGATGATTTAAATTAGATTCCCTATGAAAGGCTAGGGACCCTATGACAATATTCTGGCACTCTATAAAGATAATTTGTTTAGGTAACTAGTAGCCCATCAGAAGCTATCGAACGAGTTTCAAGGAGGCATTTCCGTTTGAGCATTCAGTAATTCACTATGGTACGGTGGATCACAACCAGACGGCAGATCGATGCGTGTTAATTGGTTCTAGATCATATGTCTGATTAAATCAAGAGCGGTTCAAGGTCTGCTAGGATTGTATACGAGAACTGATGATAAGGTTCACGCGTGTAGCAGCAATTAGGACTTGAGATTACGATTAGATTTGGTTAAATTATGCGTTTCTGCTATTCGCGTTCTTGCGAGTTAGCGCCAATAATTACTCCAACAATATTGGCACAGGGCATTGTGAGGCACAGACGGCTTGTTTGCCCGCCTCCTATGGCGTAACGTTTACCAGCATGACTGTATGAGACACAGATGCACTTCTCGAAACCCACGTCCAGACCGGAATAATAAGAGGGACACACCGTCACGTACGCAGGGCATATGCACGTTTTCCGCCAGTGGTACCGGCCACTGTTAATTTTCCCGCTTAGGTAACACTGGGTGAGAAGGCAGTGAGAGGTTTCTACGGCAGGGGGGAAGGGGAAGATTGGCACAGTATGCAGTGGAGAGTAAGTTATGCCAAAGGCAAGAAGCCGAAGGTCAGGGGTGAGTCACCCAAAGGGCGGATAAGGCGAGCCGTAGTGTCCCGGATAAGTCCTCATACTTATTTCGTAAAGGTACTCTAATCGGTACTGGACAGCCTCAGGGGAGGGAAGAATGTACTCCAGGACACGTAAGGCCTTGAATAGTAAATCCCATGGTTAAGGATAGTTCCAGGATATGAACTAGGGTCCCTGGGTCGTGAACGGGAATGTTACACGCGGACCGGAAGAGGGCATAGGTAATCTCTCCCGGTAGAGAGATAAGTCGGATATAAATCGTGTATGTGTGTACCATAAGTCTATCGGTCGTGTAGTGAATCCCATAAATTAGTAGGGTGGATATTTATGCAATTATTCTGGACGGCCCTGCGGTAAGTATCTTTGTCGCCGGTTAGCGGAGCATGCATATGGATTTCGGAAAGAGACATTTATCTCGCCGGGGAGATCGCTATTAGTCAGGCACCTAACGCCATCGGAGGGAATTCGAGGGGCGCTAAATAAATTTGGGGTGAATATATGACGAACGAACGTAGAGAGAGGATGAGAGTGAGAATGGTAAAGGATGAATCTTAGGATAAGGCCGATGGGAGTTTAGCGAAGCTCAGTTAGGACAGTCAAACTAATTAATCTCGAGGGCAACTTAAAACTAGCAACGCTAATACGAATTAAGTGGGCAATTTTCTTAATGGGAAGGCCAGTGATATAGGAATGGGTGACTGGACGAATGATCACATTCAATTTATCAATGTAATTACCACCCATATGTTTGGCAGTGGTCATCGGGACTTCGAATGCCCTGTCCTTCACCTGCCCAACTGTGCCGCAAACCCAGCTGATCGGATACCTCTATCCCTAATCCGAGCAGTGAAGAAGCATCTCGTGCATCATGGTCTATACAATGAACAGAATCATCAAGCCTCTAAATTAAAAAGCATCTTCCATCAGATGTATTTGTATGCAAGGTGGATCTCTAGACATCTCCCTCAGGTGGATCTCAACACCATCTCAAGATCTCTATCAGGTGGATCTATATCTACATCTATCTCAGGATCTCATCACTATCTGGATCTCTCTCTAGATCTATCTCGGGATCTTTTCCAAGACTCTCAAGCTCCCCTGTTCTACCAGTTCAACTATCGAGTTCATTCCAGCAGCAAATAGCTCTGTTCCTCTACAACCAGCTGAACGACAGTGGACCGCGGTGCTGGATCAACCGCAAAGAAGGCGTTTGATTACCCGCAAGGAAGCAGTTATTATCCTCCCTTTCTTCTTCTTTTCTAAATCCCCTCGCTACAAATGGCGCCCAAAACGTGGGGATTTGATAATTCTCAAATTGTGAAGCTGGTAGACTGGCACAAGCCGCCGAACCCGAAGTTGATGAATTGAAAGTCAACCGTATGGAGAAGAGGAAGAAGTTGAAGAATAGAGCAGGTGTTCGAAATACCGGCAGCAGTGGAAATGAGCGTGCTGCAGGGGTCGATATGAAGAAAGAGGATGAGCTAAAGAAAGCTGTGTGAAGATGATGAAGCTTATGATGGTGGCTGATGACAGGGAAGTTGAAGAATTGAGCAGGTGTTCGAAATACTGACAGCAGTGGAAATAAACGTGCTGCAGGGGTCGACGTGAAGGAAGAGGATGAGCTAAAGAAAGATGTGTGAAGATGATGAAGCTTATGATGGTGGCTGATGAGAGGAAGCGGTCTTACGAATACTGAAAAGGACATAGAAG